GAAATAAATCCCTATAGACCAATGTCTATGGAGCAGGTATTTGTTTATTGCAGCACTGGTGGTGAGGGGGATTTCTTCTCCTAACTCACCCACCTTTGTCCAGTGCTGTGGTATAATTACACAGTATTTCTTAGCGCCACTGTGTCACTACAACATCATTGTGTATGCGACAAAACTAATTTACACAGTGTGATCTCATGGTTATTAGATAGTTCTTTTGCACTGCTCTTGCGTCTTCCCAGTTTGGGGGTCTTTGATGAAGGCTTCCAAGGTCTTCTTCACATCTGAACTTTTCAACTTTGTCTTGGGAGCATGTGCAGTTGCGGTGTTCCTTAGTCTGTCTGGTCTTAACTGGTCTAAATTCTTTGTTTTGTGGCTAATTGGCTTCGTACTTGCTAATTTTTCATTAGTATTATACTTACCTTTAAAGCTATCCACCTGGCAAGTTTTTTCTTCTTTTTTTTTGTCTGTTCAGCATTAAGCAATTAGTTAGCCATATACTTGCCATTACATGGTATAAAACGTTATTTCTATCAGGTTATATAGGTATAAAAGTTATGATTCAGGTTATATAGGTATCAGGTTATATAGATATATTAGGTTATATTGGTATCTTATAATTCAAGCTATATAAGCACCTTGTACCTTTGATCTCAGCTATATATGCATCAATTTGCACACAGCTCTTCTCTAACAAGTACTTGCCACAACATGAAGCACATCAGTAATTAGTAAAGTAACCCAAATCTGGTTTTTTTCCCTTGTAAATGTAATGAATGGTGTTCATTACAAGAATTATTTTTAATGGCTCCCTTCTGGAAGACCAGGAGTGCTTAGTTTCTCATCCTTGATGTTTCCAATAAAAAAAAAAGTATCTCTTGTAGGTGGGACAAGAAGATTAAATCTGGCAAAACACTGCAATAACTATATTGAACAATGAGTTTTATACCTGGGGGCTCTGTTTTGTACTGAGATAAACAGGCAAAAATCTGATCGGTTGCAAAGGTCAGTGTCTGAGTATCAGAGGTCAGAACTGCCTGTGCCATCTGGAAATGACAGTATTGCACTGCTCACTGTAAAGCTATTTGAAGAGTAAACTATTTACAAGTAAGTGGAGATAAATGTTAATAAGATTTTAATGGAGTTCAAGTGAGGTGTTAGTGAAGACCTTAATGAAAATAAGACTTTTCTAGGGGTGAAGAAACTGCTGGTGAGTAACCTTGCTATTTAGTAATGTAAAATGCTTGAAAATTGCTTCAAGTGACTGTGTGTTAGCAGTACCTTACATTTCCTAGGGACAAAAAAGAGATCTCCTTTAACATCCTTGTGAAAAGCCCCTGCATTTTTCAAATTTTAAGTATATAAGCTGGACACCTGAAAACAACAATGTACTGGAGAAGTAACCTATTTTCTTCAAGTGCAGTAATAGTATTTTGGTTTTTTTTTTCCATGAGCCATATTTATTCCTATTGATAGTTTTTTGGAAAGCAGTTTTCTACAAAATTCCAAAGTTGGGAACACTGGGCATTTGAAATACTTCTAAAATGTTTTTAATGCATCTATAAATGTGACATTAATTATTTTTAAAAAGATCTCTCAAGTTTCTTATAATATTATTACTAAGGCTGATTACTTTTCCCCTTCTCTCTGTTCTTCTTGGCCTTAACATTTCCACCTCTGCATTTCTATTGTGCAATATACAACAAGTGCTTATTAAAGATAAGTTTGGAAAAGGTTTGAATTTCTTGGAAGGTCATAGCAGAAAACCCATGTTCTCGCTCTTGTCAACAGATATCTAAAAATAAAAATCTTAATTGGCATCCTATTTTTCCATATGCTGTGGAATTTTAAAATTATTTTTCTCATGGTGTGAAGACTGTCCTTGTGATCTTCAAAAGGTTCTATTTGTGCCTTTTTGTACCCAGGGGAAGGTTCATAGGAGAGACAGAGAAGAAGATGCCTGGAGCCATTGCTGTGCAGATTATGCACCAAACACTGCTTCACCAATATCTTTCTCTGGTGGAGTATGCAAGGCAGGAAACCTTGAACCAAGTGAAGTGAAAAAAAGATCTGATCTGCTCTGTCAGCTAGAGCTTTGGAAGTTGTTCTCTACAAGCCTGAGCCTCTCTCTGTCCTAGCCCACAGAAATGTGAATTGTGGCTATGAACAAATGCAGATGGCTTTGAAAGGATTTGCAATCTGAACAGAAACTGAGGATAAGGAGTTGATTGAGTCTGATGAAGGAAGTCAAGGAATCAGTGAGTGGGAGTGGGAGTGGTGTGGCAATTGGCTCATGAGAAGGTCAAGCATTTCTGAGGCTGGGGTGGAGGCTGGCGGCTGAGAATGGGCCTAAAGTAACACAGATACTGAAGGAGAGATTCAAAGATTCACAGCAGAGTGGTGAGGTTTTGGTATGAATATTTCTCATCAGCATCCCCTGGTCATTGATGTCACACTGTCTCAGAGGGCTTTCACAACAAGGCATGGCAGTACTGCCTGCTCAAAATTAGGAGTTGCTGTGTTGATTTGTTAATGAGGGGTGGAAAGGTCAGGCCAGGAGGAACCTTGCAAGAAAAGCCGCTTACATTTGGTCGAGCAGCCCTGTGACCAAAGACTGAGCGCTGTCTCTGAGAGTTAATGGAGTGTTGGTGATGTACATCAAATGCTCATAGGAACCTGAAAATGGCCTTGAGTGATCTGTGCTGAGTATCAGCTCTGCATTTCAGGACACAGGCTTCTCAGAGACAGAACTTAGTTTGAAGAAGGTGACAAGCCTGGCTTTTGTAGAAGGATTGAGTATCTCTGCCCTGTTGGTGTGGCACAGGGCCACAGCATGTTGGAGCTTATCCCATCTCAGCCTGCCAGAGCTCCTCAAACTGCATGCTTGTAATGTATTCAGTCTGTTATTTTTATTTTTTTCATGGTGTGTGGTGGTGGTTAAATTTCAGCTGAGGTAGATCAGTGAGAGCAGGTTGTTCCAAAGGTAAAAGGCCACCAAAAGCTTCTGAGCTGCTCCACAGGGAACTGAGTGATGATAATCTGAAATTTGACCTCCTTCAGGCAGCAGTTCAAGTGTCCAGAGTGTTATTTGTGAGAGAGACCCATCTGCTCTGAGCACCTCCAGCTGAAGGAGGACGGAAGGCTGGTCAAGGGCTGGGAAGTCTGGCCTGCTTTGACTACACTCAGCACCCCAGCTACCTGCTGGGGACACTTCTGTGACTCCATGAACATCCTTCTGCAATGTTGAGTGTTGGATTCACAAGCGGCACAGGGACATGCCTGTCAGGAGAAGTTTAAGATCTGAGGTAGCTACACAGAGAAATTGTATTTATTGGGTAACATGCTCTACAAGCATGATGGTGTTACTGCCATTGATGAAAAGCTGAACAGTCCTTAATGTTTTTGTTTTTCCCCCTGAAGTAAGGGGAGGTTAAGCAATGGTGTTGAGGTGCACATTAGCTTGGTGATTAATTGTCATTTATTAACTTGCACTTGGCGCGGAGAGACAGGGCGGGTAGAAACTCAGTCTTTCCATAAGGAAAGACTCTGTACTTTTAAAGGCAAAGTCCATATGGTTAGTTTTTCTTATCAGAGAATCAAGCATGTCTGGTGTGAAAGGATTTGTGACTTGGACATGCAAGGAGCTTATCTTCAGAGAGAAAGGCATGGCTTTTTTACCTAGGGGCAGCTAACAAGCATCAGTTGCCGAGATAAAATGTAAGGACAAGAGACTTTCATTTTAATACTATATAAATTTGCCAAGTCAGCTAGATAGGAAGGTAGGATTTAATTTACTGTGTTTACATTGTGATAAATCCACAGTGCTTGGTCTTTGATATGTTTTTTCTCTAGGAGTGAGTGGTATGAGTGGTGCTTAACCCCAGACTGTGTCTTCTTTTTTCGAATATGGAGACAAATTCCAACATACAGAACTCTAAAGCCCTTCCTGAAATACAAAGAAGTTCCTATTTTTTAATACAAGGAAGAATTTTGATACAGCAGTAGTTTAGAAAAAGATTACTGAAAATCATCATTGTAGCCTTACCTCTGCAAAAAGTAGGGATAATTCTGACATTAAATCAGATACTACTCATGTAATCAGTTGATAGTCTGGATCAGTTTGTGACTTTTGATTTGATATATTTGACTGTAAGGGTGACCTGTAGCTTCAGTGACATCATTGCAACCTGTGTCCTTTTTAAGGTGAATTCTTTACTAGGTCAGTGATCATTTTTGCCAGTGACTTAATGAGGTCAAAATGAGACCCAGAGGTTTCAGCTTGTTGGTGTCTTTTTTGTAGCTGCAGCTATACTGAAGATGAAAGGTCCTTTTGGAAACCTCAGAATATATGTTTAGCAGGGTGAACCAAAAACCAGTAATGTCAAACTATAAAAATGGTAAGCTTTCGGTCAAAGAGGCAGAACTATAGAAACAAATACTTTCTATGGTCTTTATTAAACATTCAGACTCGCCAGTTTACTTCACAAACTGTAACTGCAGTAATTCTACATTGTCCTTTCCCAGTTGTAATTAAGGTCAGAGATGCCAGAGTAAATATTAATAAAAAATAAAAGCAGAATAGCAAAGGGAAGCAGCAATTGTACTGTCAAACTGAAGAATTTACTTAGGCAGAAAAGCACTTGTGAAAAATTCTTTAAGTGGTGATTCTAGGAAGATATGTGCCATGAATTTTGTGGACCTGACTGTTAAGAGTTGAATTAAGGGTATGTATAATGAGGATAACTAGAATTTGGATTCTTTTTTTTTTTTTCTTTTTAACACTAACTCCCGTGCTGTTCCAGACTGGGAGATACATAGAGCCGAAATATGAAATGGAAAATGTATTCCAGATACTAAAAGTAATTTTTAATATCTTGGTTTGCTTGTTGACAGCGGTTTGCTTTGATAGTTTGACACAATTCATGCTGCCTTCACACATACTAATACAACCTGCATCTTAAGATGCTAACCAAAAATTTCTTTTTTATTTACTCTTCTAGCCGTCGGTCTGGACAGTATACAATGAACCATGACCATTCCAAGAAGATCCCTGATGGAGCGTCGTTTGACCGCTCAGGATCCCAGGACTCCTTGGATGAATTGTCTATGGATGACTACTGGAAAGAACTTGAAAACATCCATGAAACCAGAGGAAATAATCACGAGGAACGACTAGCACTTGTAGTGAAAGAGCCAGATGGTAATGAAGTCTGTTCTGTCAATGTTCATCAGTTTGCTGATTTAGGGATTTTTCTCCAAATCTTATTTCAAGAGATGGCACCCACCTAATACGGATCACAAAAGGAGGTCACTTTCCTGAACATCTGCTTTGAAAATTCTGTTGCCTCTGATGCGTATCACCAGAAACAGGCAGTGCCCTGAAAGAGTTTTATCAGAGACAAGAAAAAGGCTGGTTTTCCTTTGAATGGTATTTTCAGAAATCAGAAAGGTGCCTGTACTTGCAAATCACAACAACGGAACTATTTGCAGTTTACTGTTGAACTAACTTACCCTTTCACTCTTTGTGTATGTCGTTCGTTATTGTAGCTATTGTGGATAGAAACCTCACGCTTTAGAAGACAAGCCAATGATTAACCGGTTTAAGTTTAGTGAGTAACTTTCTGTGCTTGTATTGTGATTGTTCAGTTGTACTATTTTTGTTTCTCAGAAACGTAAATTATGGGCCACTCCTTGGGGCATAGTCTTGGAGGTTGGGCAACTTTTTTTCTTTTTCTGTTTTTATGTCCTCTCAGATAAAGGAGGAGTAATGTCCTTAATTCCAGTTTTCTCTCCAAAATTATTTTTTAACAATTCAGTAGCTGCCTCTCTCCCATTCTTATGAGACCCACAGTCTTAGTAAATTAAAATGGTGAATTTTGCATTTTGGTGTGGCCTCCGCATGAGTGAGTAGAATGTGCTCCATGAGCTTTCAAAGGGATTTGCGCTTCTGCCTCCCTAAGCACTTTGAAAAGTCATTGCTCTGAAGAGCATAACAACATGGCCCCTGGAGAAAGCAGCAAGGCTCCCAACCCTAGTGACTGGGGAGCTATGGGGTTTTCTGATGGAGCCATGGGGCTTTCTCCAGAGCATCAGAGCCCATTTTTCTGCAGTACACAAAACTCTTCTCTTACTGCAGCTCACTGATGTGGCTGTGCCTTTAGACTCTGCACCCCCAGCCCCACCATTTCCATTTGGTTTATATGTAGCCTTCTTCCCCCTGGTTACTGCAGCTGATGCTGGCGTGAAGCCAGAGTGATAAATCACAGTTGATTTATCAGCTTGAGCATATGTTGCTGGGCCCCACACCTTGCCTAATGTGCAACACCTCTCTTGGGCATGAGTATTCCTGAGCACGTGGGATGCTGCACCTTGCTGATGGACCTGCCTGAAACTCGGCCAGGCAAAGGCAAGGCAGGGGAGAGAGCTTGCTCACAGCTGCTCTGGAGCATGGGTGTAGCCCTTCTTTCCAGCCCTGATAACAAAACCTGAGAGTTTCATCAGAGGCTCAGGATGTGGCTGCGCAGCCATAGCAAAATTCATACTTAATTTTGGTGTCTGTTTTCTGGATGCTGTTAATATTAAGGTGCCCACTTCGATGTGCTCTGGGCACAGTGGTGAAATGCTATCAATAGTGAAGTTGACATGCCAGCTTTGGAGTATTTTTAGATATCTGATAAATGGATATATTGCCTGAACATTTAAGAGAATTGTTGGCATTCAGCACAACCTCAACTGCTACAGACAGAACTTAGTGTTTTATAGAAAATATCATTAGGGAGATACAGATTTCAGAAGCAGAAGTTTTGCCATCAGTGGCAATATTTAATAGCTTTCTCTTCTTTTATGTGCAGTGATCTGTCAATAAAAGATACCTTATCAGCTCTAAGACTAAAGCAAAAATTGTTCTGTGGGCTGTCAGCAGGCTGGAGACCATGTCATAAGAACTGATGAAAAAATAGCATTAAGGTGACTCATGTAGGCTGGTTTGTCCTTCATTAAATTGAGCTAATGGAAGGCTGTAGGATTAATGTATCAAGAAAAGTGGGCAGAACCATGCCAGTAAGAGAGGTTAAAAAGACTGAGTATTGAACTAAAAATCAGCGAAGCAGCAATGATCTGGCTTTCAGGCTTCCCCATACACATTTTTATTTAGGTACATTTATAAAATGGTCTATGATTTTAATGGAAGTGCTGTAGATTATTATAAAGATTGCCACATAGCAATCTGTATTGGATTAGCTACTTTAAAAGCTTTGATATCATATATTAAACCTTTTGAGGCTCTTTAGAAACAATAGCTTTTTTCCGAGTCATGACAGTGTAAGTAATTCTTAATTGTGTATCCCCTTGGTACTTTTCTGTGAATTATATTAACCGTGTCATGTCATTAAAATCCAATATGCTTGGCAGTACTTGAAAGCCAATGTTTATGCCTTTTTCTCTTCAAATTGCTCAGAGGGAGAACTGGAAGAAGAATGGCTGAAGGAGGCAGGTTTGTCAAATCTGTTTGGAGAGAGCTCTGGCGACTCCCTGGAAAGCATGGTGTTCTTATCCACACTGACTCGAACCCAGAAAGCTGCGGTGGAAAAGCGAGTAGAGACTGTCACACAAACCATGAGGAAAAGAAACAAACAGCACCAGATTCCTGATGTCAGAGATATCTTCAGGCTACAAAATGACTCAAAGGGAAAAGTGAGTTCCTGTCGGTTGTTTTATTTGATTCTGGCAGAGAGAAGAGAGGGACATGTACAGATGGGGGAGAGCAGGGTGGCACATGAAAGGGACATTTCCAGAAGATTTGTGCCTAACTTCGCTGATTTCCAAGGGAATTTTTCACTAAATTTTCAGGGATGGTGTTTGCCCAGATTTGACATTGCATTAAGCAATTGCAGTGTTTATAAAGAAGTATGTATATTGGCCTCATTTTACTTATAAGTGATGAATAAAACAGCTGCTCATCTTAATCAGAATTATTTTTCACACAGATGTGAAACTTATCACAGCAATCACCCAAAGAGTTACCACAAGCCTACTTTTACCTTTGAGTGGTTACCTCTTACTTACTGGTGCTTTTGTTTATTTGTTTGTTTATAAAAATGGTAAAAAATGGGGCATTAGCCTAACCTTCTTGGTTTTGGCTAGGTCTTTATGCCTATCACCTGGGGGTGTAAACCCCATACTAACTTCTCAGGGCCTATGTGTGTGTTAAACTGTGTATGGGAAGTTGCTCTGACAGGCCCCAAAGGGTCCCAGTTTCCCGTCATGGGATATTGAAAATAATTCCCATATACAGGAAAGGGGAAGGAGGGAAATGGAGACTATAGGGGAAGGAGGGAAATGGAGACTATGATTAGAATTCCTTTTCCATGGAGAAGGGTGTGTGTCCTCTCTGCTCCCTCAGAGCACTGAGATCTTCAGCCTTAAGAATGAGACCTTATGGCATGACTGGTTTGCCTGACCTCAGCTCTGTCCCTTGTTCTCATGCTGACAGTGCCTTTCAGTGCAATTGTTCTGGTGATGGAAAGCACGGTGAATTTTGAGGGAATTTAATTTCTTCCTTCCTCTCCTTCAGCAACTCCTTCTAAACTCAGTTGAAGTGTAGTAGGAGAAGTGGTACATTCTGGAGTCACAACTTCCCTTTCACTGTTCTGCTTTGCCTGTGGTTGCAGAAAAGATATTAACTCCATAAAAGATTTCTGGGATCTGATTTGTAATTGACTCTACCTAAAAATTACAAGATCTAATAGCAGAGCAATTTAGGTAAAATACCATGTAGCTTAAAGCAGTATAATTTCTCTTTTTTCCTTTTATTTCAGTAAAGCACAAGAAATATTCACATTCCTGTATGTAAGCTGCTTACTGTAATGTTTGAATATCCTATGTCACAATGTTCGATAGATTTTTCTTCTCTTAAACTACATGTTTTGATATTGAAGACAGCACTGAGAAGGCAATTTTTTAGGCATTTAAGATGTATAAAACAAATGGTTATTTATTGAATATAGAAATAATGGTGGGAAAAAATCCTTCTAAACTTGTCTCCTTGACAGAAATAAAGTAATACAATTCCTTTCTCCAAAGCAAGATAATTGTTAAGAAATCATTGCTTGTGGTTATTCACAAAATATATCACCAAAAGCCTGTAGGGAAGTAGCTTCCACTACCTCCCTGGGTAACGTGTCTCATTGCTTTGTTACTCACCCATCATTAGAAAGCTTTTTATATAACAAAAGAGGACTGAAGCCACCTGCAGCTGTATGAAGTCATTCCAGTTTAATAATAGCCTCTGAAAATCCTGTAGCCTCCCTTCATCTGGAGGAAAGCAGGAGGAAAGGTAAAACAATAGTGTTGATGTTTTGCATGAACACAACAATTGTGTTAATGTTTCTCCTAAATTTCCTGCCATATTCCCAAAGAGAAACTAGACTTTTGGTACCTTAACAACTTACCAGTCTGCTTCTGCTGCTTTCTGCTTTCTTTTTTTTCCTTCTGCTTGTGAAACAGAGATAATTTTCCAGGCAATTGTGCAAACTTCTTCCTCCTCTCAAGATACCGGATTTAAAAAAAAAATAAAAAATAAAAAAAAAAATTGAAAATACAGATTATGCTAGTAGGATAAATCTTTAAAACTTGCATTTGTCTTCTCAGTAAGTACGGAGTTATGAATTGCTTGAGTAAAATACAATTAGAAATACGGTGTGCTAAACATTCATTGTTAATTTGAGTTGCCAGAAAGTAAAAATTATATGTGGGTAAAAATGTATATGAGTCAATGTATACCCATATATGTATGGGCAGAGATTTTCTACATGTTCTGAAATATTTTGTCTATAGTTGATGTTACCCAGATCACAAAATGTCACATCTTGAGACTGGGTAGGGCAGCATTACAGAAAGGAGAGGATGGTTCAAGTCCTTTCCCGTGCTTTGTGTCTTCAAAGTGTCCTGGTTTTATTGTTGGAAATCTAAGCTGCAAGCACAGATATTATTGTTATGCTGTCCTGCAAAAGGGATGGGATTGATCTCTGGGGGAGGCAGCCATGTAAGCTTTTCCAAGAGGAAGGAATTTGGTCTGAGTCAGTCAAAATGTCTGCTCCAGATTCCCTGTTCATATGCTTTCCAGTGCAAACTACAGCTTTAGGTCAGACTGCATTTTCTTATTCTTTGCCACTTTGGAAAATAAAATCCTTCACCCACTTAGCCTTCTAGGAAGAAGTGAATTGACTTAATTACTTCTTTTTTAATTACCTAGGTTTCAGATCCCCTTAGAGTTTGGCAAGAGTTTGGCAATCCCTGAAACACAGGGATGTGATTTTGCATACCCCTGAATTGTAGCAGTGCATTTAATCCTGCACAGAGTCAGAGGAGTTTCTGCAACCATGCTCTAGGTTTTTATAGGCATGCATATTTATTGTTCCTTTCTTAGGTCTGTGATGGAAGTGAACCTTCAGCTGTGAGAACAAGTGAAAACAAAAATGAAGCACATGATGGAACAAAAGGTAATACAAAGTTACTCTCTTCTTTATTTTATTTTTCTTTTGGTTTGTAGGTGTTCAACTACACCTGCTACTGCATGGGTCCTTATTTTAAGTAAGTTTTCCACAAAATAAAATTAAATTATAATAAGAAACCTGTTCTGGACTGCATTGTTGGTGTGTAAAATTTCAAGTGTGCCTGTAGGTAGTGTCATTTGAGCCACCTGAGAATCCCTGTTTATTATCAGGAAGCAACTTATAATCAAGCTATCTGGGAGAAGTCTCCTCTTGTAGCTTGTGCTCAGGTTGTTTCTGATCCTTATTTTATCACTTCTGGTCTGTCTCTGCTGTACAGTACAGGAAATGAAGGTCTGTGCATAAACTCATCAGTGCATACCAAAGAATAAAACTGAATGGACTATAAGCAAAAAAAAAAAAAGAAGCCAATAGAGAACTGATTGGACTCAAGCATCAAGGAAACTGTGACAACTGGCTATATATCTGTAGCTCAAATTAAAAGAAAAACAGGGTTGAAAGAAAAAAGGTTGTTTACCATTTCAAGGAAAATGGAAATGGTGTTCTGTGTGCCTACATTGTGTTCAGTGATACGTGATCACAGAAGAGAGGTGCAGTACCCATGGAAGACCCTTTCCTCTCACTGTCAGGATAGTACATCACAGAAGTCCTTAGCTGACTCCATGGTTTCTGTTTTGAGAGTATGAATTCTGATGAAAGACTTTGTCAGAGCTTTCTGCTCTTCATATCCAGTATTAAAAGTGTAGCTATCCTGCATCATTTTAGGTTTCTTCAAAGTAAGGGTTGCACTGGGCTTGTCATACCATCCTAACCACCCCTGTAGAGATCAGGTTATTTACTGGCAGCTGTTTAAGTTTTAAGATACTGCACTTTTATTCTGTTTTGTTTATATGTTGGGGTTTTTGCTTCTTCTGGAGGACTGGATAGCACATAGATGTTACACTGAACCCTATACCCACATTAAGTAGGCAGATCAAGTTACTTATTGCAAGTTAGTTAGCTTTAATTAAGCCACCAAATGAAGTTCTGCTTCAGTTCTAGAATACTGACCAGTAACAATTTTTCCAAAATGTAGACTTGGAAAACAGCAATGGACAATACAGAATGTTTGTGGCAGTTGGAGTGGGAGACCTGAATATAAGCCAGCCTTGAATAACACTGAATCTGTGTGTTTCCAGCAGTGTGTATTTCCCTCCCACTCTCTCAGCAAACCTCACTCCAATAAGAGCAGTAAAAAAAATGGGAGGACTGCCAGACTGCTGGTTCAGCACAAGGGAAGGAAAAGATGCCTGGTGCTTGTGTCAATAAACTTCACTGTAGGATTCAGAGCTGGAAAATTACCAAGCAATTATTACAGAGTTTTTATCACATCTGGTTCTTTTTTTCCCCATGGCCCTGATGAACCCTTCAGAAATGGGAAGTTCTGAAATGCAAATCCCATATGCTAGCTCTCCTCAGCACAGATTGTGATGTGGATGGCAAACACAGCCTGCTTACATCCTGGTACACTCCTGCTCTAGTCAACATGCTACAGTGGGCTCTGCTCCCAAGACTGGAGGAGGAAGGAAAAATCAGTTCAGTCTGCAGTCAAACTATGGAAGTTTACTGGTGTTTAAAGCATGCACCTGGATCAGTGCTTGATCTTTCCTCCAAAATGATGAGCAAATAAGTGTTGTACAAACAGTGAATGAATTTAAGGCAAAAAAGCAGTGCCTGATATTTCAGAGGTACTAAATATTTATGAAATCCAAATCCAAGGACATTATTTTAAAATGGAAACCTTCTTTGACACAGAAATTGTTCCAGTTTTACCCGAAAAAATATGAACATCATCTCAGACATTATTAAAAAAAGTCTAAATTGAGACATCTTTAAAAAACCTCTTCTTGGCCATACTCCAAAGGTGATGACTGTTCCTAATGGGATATTTGAATGCTGCATTCCCAAGTGCTTCTGACAGACTAAAGTTGTTAATGGTTTGCCCTTATGATGCCTTGAGAGGCTACCTAGCACAGAGGCTGGACAGAGTTAAAGGAATAAAGCAGATACTTATTAAAATAAAGGGTTTGTCCTTTAAAGGACACACCTTGGGCAGTATAAAAGCCTGGCCAGGGCTACACACAAGATGGACCCAAGATGGTCACAAGATGGACAACTGGTTACAAGTTTTCACACTTTTGTAAGTTTTGGTCCATTTACACATTAGGGTTAATTGTCCACTTACAGCTTCAGGTCATGAAGTCTCATTCTCCCAATTTACCATTATCTCTCCTCAATTTACCATTGTTTATACTTTTTTGGGCCTGAAGCTACAATGGTGTCCTTGGTTCTTGGGCTGAAAAAGGATTGTTTTGTCTACCTACACTGTGAAGAGAACTTGCTAACACTTTGTATGGAGTTCAGAGTCACACACCAAGGCAGTACAGAATCTGGAAAATATGAAAGCTAACACTTAAGGCATCACTTAGAGCACACCTGGGCAATGTGAATCTGTTCTCATTTCTAACCAGTCCAACACACCTTGTTTCTTGACTAAATAGTATATGCAAACTCACAGAATAATAACTGCGTTTGTTTCATGTAGGTATGGAGTGTGTCTCCAGGAAACAAAAAGAAAATTCAGAATCATGTATTAACCTCTCAAAAGGCATTATCATTTTAACAATCCATGACACTCACTAAAGGCCTGCAAAGCTAGCAGTACATTCAATAGATACAAAAGAAAAGAAGTAATTTTCTTTGGAATTGTGTGAAAAGGTGTAAATAACTGTGTTCATTAAGGCCTCTCAAGAAATAAAAAGGGAATAATAAAACATATGAAAAGCTAAATACTTATTAGCTTAAATAGGGAAATAGCAAAAGTCAGTTTACTGTGACTGCAATTGTTTTTCTGAATTTAGGATTAGCTACAGGGGAAGAATAATAGATAAAACCTCTGTATAAGGGCAGCTTCAAAGTGTAACAGTCTAGAGAGTGGATGAAAAAATTATGTGTACTGTGTGTAATACGAGGGTAAAGAGCAGTAATGTTTGCTTCTTGATAAGGAAAACCCCTGAAATCTGGTGGTTTTTAATTAAAGAGTTTGGTTTTGCTTTTCGTTTTACATGATGAGGATCCTGTAGCCAAAGTAATGGTGTAAGTGTGTAAGTGAAATGATTACAAGATTTTTTTATTTCAAATTTATGAACTAACTATAATCTATGAACTAGCATTTTAGAGAAGTGCTTTGTCAGTCAAAGAAAAAATCATTCTACTTTCCAATAGTAAATTAAGATCTGTCGGCTTAGCTCCATTGGTTTATACTCAAGATTCTCTAGCAAAACTGGGATATAGCAGCTGATACTTGCCATGTGTCCTTGTTTTATTTCTGAAGAATTCTTATAATTTTATGTAATCTTTAAATAGCTCTGTGAACTAAGGAAAGGGTACAGAACTCATGTAAAATATGGTTTCCACATCCTCATAGACAATATTTACATTTTTCAGTATCACACTTGCATTTCCCTCATTAAATATTGCCTGTGGTTGGCAGGTTGGCAGAACACCAAGGCTACTTCCTCTTACAGCTGCTGCCTAGTTCAGGAATGTACAACAATGGGAGCAAGGCTATACAACCAAGAAGAGACTCCCTACAACAGCAGCACTTCCAGATCTTTAAAATGTGCAGATCATTACTGAGACATCTGCTTTACATGACACCTCTGTGACCAGAGGACTGAAATAGGAGCTACTTCTTTTTTTGTTTGTTAACATCAGATCCCTCTTAGGCTGGTAGGAAGTATGTAGGTCAGGTATAGGCCGCATTAGCATGACAAAAGTTTTGGGGGGGACGACGGGAAACTGTTCTCATTCAGTTTGGGTGACTTAAACAGTTTACATGATATATATATGGATATACACGCAGGGATGCCAAGGATCAGAGTCAGGGATGAATTTGACCTTGGATATGTTGGCTTACTGAGAACTCAGATATCTCTTTACCAAAAGGAGCAGCTCTAGTTTCAAGATCAGTTTAATCTTTAGAGTATGCCTTCAGTGTTTTGGGGTTTGTGGAAAGTGAGCAGAAGCCACTCTGGAAAAAACAAGAGATGAGTAACACACACAACCAGCAGAACATGAAAGTGTTGTGTAAAGCACTGTGCCTTACCAAAAAGTGGCTGTTACCAAAATGGTGGCTTCAGCCATTTGTCTGTCAGGTCCTCGGGTCTGGCCCTGGCTGACTGAGGTTATTTTCAGGACTTGCTCTAAATAACGTCAGAGAATAGTTTTGTGTTTTTCAATAAGGTGCAGATATAATTTAGAAAAAAATGTTGAGTTGCTGTAATTATTTTTTTTAACTTCCTGCTTCATATGTTTGGATTGTGAGCTTGCAGCTGAGTTCTTTTACAGACTGCTGATACCATCAATGTAGAGCAGCACTTCCCTGACTCCTCTTAATCAGCCTATCTGCAGGCTTTCCCCTGTTTCAGAATCACCTTTTGCTGTATCTGTAACTATTTTCTGGGAACTTTTTTCTGTCTTGGCTTAGGGTAGTTACTCTAGGCCATACAAAAAATTCCCACAGCAGTGTAAAAAAATTAGTGTATTATGTAACACAACATACTTACACCAAAACATATGCATTGCTGGTGCTTCTCCTTCACAACTCATGCCCATTTCCAGTCACTTTTCCTACACTTGTGGTATATAAGCTTTGAACAGGCTGCTGTGTTGTATGAGTAGGGGCCAGTGGCAGAACCATGGTCCCAGGACTAGGGAAGTGATTCTTCCTCTGTACTCAGCGGTGGAGAGGGTACACATCTTCTGTGTCCAGTTCTGAACCACTCAATTCAAGAAGAACACTGAGGAGCTGGAGCATGGCAAGAGGAGGGTAACAGAACTGGTGAAGGGTCTCAAGCACAAGTCTTATGAGAAGAGGCTGAGAGATCTGGGGGCGATTTAGCCTGGAGAGAAGGAGGCTCAGGGAAATCTTACCTCTGTCTACAGCTGCCTGGCAGGAGGCTGTAGCCGGGTGGGGGTTAGTCTTTTCTCCCAGTCAGCAACAGGACACAGCCTCAAGCTGTGCCAGGAGAGGTTTAGGTTGGACATCAGGGAGAAGTTCTTCACAGAAAGGCTGATTAGATATTGGAGAGGACTGCCACTCCAGTGGGAGGTTGTGGAGTCCCTGGAGGTATTTAAGGACAGACTGGACATGCCACTTAGTGCCATGGTATAGTTGACATGGTGGTGTTTGGTCTTAGGTTGGACTCCATGATCTCAGAGGTCTTTTCTAACCTTATTTATTCTGTGGCTTTACTCTTCTGTAGTACCTGGAAACCTTCTGTCATTCTGTAATGTATTGTAAAAGGAACCTATTCCTTGATGTATCCTTTTGGATAGATATCATGAGAAGGATGGTGGAGAGACTGAAAGCTTTCTTAGGTTTCTATGTGTTGTATTAAATAGTGGTTTTTACTGTATAATTTTCTTCTTCTTTCACAATATATTTTGACTTCAGACCAAAGTAGTGGTTGATTTACTGTGAAATTGGGAAACTTCTTTTTCTAAAAGCAGAACTGCCTCTCCCTTTTTTGATTCTTTATTCTTTTAACAAAAAAATGTTTTAAGTTTGTCTAGTGTTTGATTCCTTTAAGGAACAAAGAAAGAGAAGTAAGGCCATTGTTGTGTACTCAGTTCTTCCCTGTATCATGGAAACATGCCCAAACTGTTTTGAGGAATCTAGACTCTTCAGACTGAGGTGAGAACAGGAGTGATGGAACAAAGATAAGATCTGTGTAATCCCCATTTTTCACAGATGTTAATGCTTTGGATCATAGAGATCACACTATCTATTGCTTTTGAAATTTCAGGAGCAGAAAAATTTACTGATTTGTTTGCAGGATGTTACAGTCTGAGGCTGGAAAGTGTTTGATGGCAAGAGACTTCTGATGCCAAAGCTCTTTGGCTTTGCAAGATTCTGGGAGTCTGCTGTTTGTTTGAGGTGTATTGCTCTATCATTTCATAATAGATAAATAGGAGAGAAAACCCCATGCCTTGGCAAAATTACTGAAGAAAACCTACAAAAGCTGAACCCTTGTCAATAGCTAGATTTTCAACTGACATAAAAAATACAGGAACAGTGACTTTGCAATCAGAAAGTCCATTGCTTGCACAGCATTAATTTCGACTTGGTTCAAAACTTACTCTCATGCAGAGTGGTGCTCAATTGTGCTGCTGTTGATTTTTAGCTTTTTTTTTTTAATTTTATGGTGTTTTCAGGTCCAAAGTTCAGTCTTGGAACAGATGAGCAGAAGAGCCTGCTTGAAGACATGCCATCTTCAGACACTGACATCAATTTGGAGATATCATTTGCAGAACAGGCAGCTAATCTCAAAGACAGCTCAGCAGGCAAAATGTACAAAGGTGGAGGGGGTGACACTCTTCTCCCAGTAGGTGTTTTTTATTTATTCCTCTTTTTTTTTAGGTAGAGGTACTGTTTGGTGATATTTATCTGAGACTGAGCGAATTAGATTTAGAAGAGCATTGTCAGATTTAGCTTTGTAGAGATTGAAATTCTTACAGTAACTAACTTTTGGGAATAGTATGCTCAATAACATGAAAATAACCACATTTATGCTTAACTATCTAATTTAACTATCTAAGTTAAAGATAACTTTATCAGTTGTCTGATAGGCAGGTGAGGGATGAGAATGAGGAACAAAATTATCTATAGTAGTTAGATGTCTGAAGTCAAATGGCAGGAAATTAAAGATTAATTTGAACTCTGTTTTTCTTAATAAAAAAAGCCTCTTTCTGAATTGATCCATATAAAATCAAAAGAAAATCCTCTAAGGGATTTTGTTGTTGATCCTCAGAATCTCGGAGGATCTCTCTGCCTAGCACAGTTACATATAACCTGTAAACTAATGGCTGGTGTGAAATTGTCTTGTTCTTTTCTGGATTTTTGTTTTTTTTCTAACACTGTATGCAAACATGTCTGCGCAAACACAGTTTCTGAAATAATGTTTCCCAGTTCTTCAAACACTTAATTTAGATAAGGACGTGCAGTTCTTCAAGTAGTAATTACCCCATGTATCCTAGTTTAAACATTATAAACCAGACATTAATGGATATTTAGAGATGGATTCTAAAGTGTTTGAGTCATGTTTCTCTAATGCTGCCTAAAACAAGGAGGTAAAAGCTATGCTTTAAATTCTGTATATACGCATATGTAGATATATATGCATAATATATTAGCTCTACTTCTGGCCAGGTTTGTGAAGGATGCTCGAAGACATGGCTATGGGATTTCTTCTTCAGTTACAAAAGGAGCTGCAAAATTATAGGAAAGGGTGTTACCTGTTTAAATCTGCAATATATTGGTTGCACCTTCATCATCGGCAGCTATATTTAAACAGACATGTTTGTGCAAGTCAGTGAAAGCTCAAGGTGGGGAACTGGCTACGTATCTTATAATATTGTAATAATATATTGTAATATAATACTGTATTATCTTATAATTATGTAAATTATGTTTTGATATGTGCCCTTGTAGTCATGTACCATAACCAGCAATTCATCTCTGCTGTGGCTGGGTTTGTACAGGGTAAGAAAATAATTCATGAGTATAATATGTCTTTCCAAGTGGAAGAAAGTCTTGTCAAGCTTCCTGCTCTGAGTCATGCATACTTAGAAGCCTGATGGTGAGAGATGGAGTTAGAAAGTTCAATGAACTGGGAAGTCCCTCACCCTTTCAGCCAAATTCTTTTGGCTGTTCTCTGACTGCAGCCTCTGAGTATGTAGTGCAGCAGAAAGGAGCCATGGTTAAGTATCCCCCTTCCCTAAGAAAAGAACTCCTTTATTATTATTTATATGGCAGCCAAATATATTATTTTGTGTGCAGAAGGATTTCTGTCCCAATTTTATGTGCATAGAATTGTTCATGGACAGCCATTTCCACTACTATAAACTGGAAAAAGATGCAGAAGGTGTGTGTGATTGCAAGCAGGACAAGTCCAGACTCTTCTTGGAGGTGCCAAGTAAAAGGACGAGAGTTAATGGACACAAGTGACTAATGGTGAAATTTCATTCTGCATACTAAAGAAAGTCCCCATGAGAGCATTCCACACTGAAACAGGTTCCCACAGGTATTACTGGGAATTTTGAAAATGCATTTGAGCAGCAACAACAAGCTCAATCAAACAAAATCCAATCAGACTTTGAATTTAGCCTTGCTTTGAGCAGCAGTTGAATTAGATGACCTGCAGAAGTCACTGGAAACCTAAATCTTCCTATCATTTTAAGATCATCTTCTTTTTAACTGATTTGTCGGATTCTCCCTTGATTTAGTCAGTAACAGCAGGCTTCATGATGAAAGATTGTACCCTGAAGGAAGCACAGCCTTTGAGCTAAGTAATTTGTCATGACTTGGATTATTCACCCTGCTGCAAATTTCTGCTTTTAGAATTTCAGACTGCCGAAGGACAAAACAGGTACCACAAAGATTGGTGACCTAGCCCCTCAGGATATGAAAAAAGTCTATTCTTTAGCACTGATTGAATTAACTGCTCTCTATGACATACTTGGGACAGAATTCAAGCAGCAGAAAGCTGCAAAAATCAAAACCAAAGGTAAGTAGGTGTTTTGTATTCTCAACCAATTACATCCGTTCAATCCAACAAAACAAATGCACCTGTTTCTTTATGATCTTCCAGCAGAAAATTTATATATAATATATAAGCAGTAACATAGGACCTGAATAACAGTTAATTTTATGCCTTAACTCAAGGCAGGCTTTAAACAAGTTTGCTGACATAATGTCTCCAACTCTTTGTCTAAAATTAAAACTCAAGACAGTCACTGAGCAGATAATCTAAGGAGTGAAGGGTAACTATCACAAACGTATGTATGTATTAGTGTATGCATACATACATACATTTATATATTACATACAAATGTATGTATGTATGTATTAATGTATGTATTAGTAACATTTTGTGCAGCAGGAAATCCTTCATAGAAGTTTGTATGTGCTGATTTATTCCCAAAGAGAATGAGCATGTGCTCTTTGTGGGTATTTTTTTCCTGATTTCCTAAAGGTAGGTCCTACTTTCAAAATAGGACTCAATGATCTTAAAGGTCCTTTTCAGCCTTTACAATTCTGTCATTCAGGTGAGTCTACCTGACTACTGTGCTTTTGTTGCCATGGGTGAGAGATGCTGGGAGCCTTTGTCACCTGTTTCCTATCCAGTCTGGCACAAACATTCACATGGTTCCCGTGTCATATAGGCCTTGCCTATATGACAATATAAGTAAATCCAGTATTTACTTAGGCTGTAACGCAGTTATGCTGAACGGCATCATATAAAGTGGAAGATTTAAACTGTTGCAGAGGAGGCAGAGACAGCTGCAACCTGTCACTTTCCTCTGCAAGCCATCAGAGCATTTGTTTAAAAACTGCTTTTCTAGGGAGCATAGAAAACATGGAAACCAATTTCTTGATGCTAGAGGTTTTCAGTGTTTTGTTTGGTTTTTGTATTTTTGTCTTCTGCTAAATGCTTTACAAGAGCTTGAGATGTGTTACCAGTTAATCACAAGACTACTTTGGCCGAAACTCTGTTGTCAAGGTTCAGTGAATGTGACAGTGCAATAGCTCACTTTAAATAATTGAAAGCAACAGAGAGCATAGAGGGATACACAGCAAGGTACAATAGATTCTTCAGAATGTGTTCTTCACTTTCCAGTAGTAGTAAACAGCTTTTTTAATGCTAAAGGCATACACAGAAACATCAACAAGACCTTGATTGCTTGAATGCATTTTCTTGCAGAAGTACTTGTGCTGTCACAAATAAACAGACAAAGCACTTTCTTCTCTTGTATTTTGGGTCTTAGTTATAACTGTTTCTTCTTACAAAATTAATTGTTAATTGAATTTCAATTCCAGCATTATTATCTGAAGGGCAGGCATTCATAGAATGTTGAATTGATTAAAAACTTTTTTAAAAGGTAAAACAGACAGGCTAGACTCATGGCAATGTGTATGAAGTGGACTATGACATCAGCTTTTCTGCCAAGCTAATCTGCTTTTGCAGTGTACTGCCTTCAGTGCCATGTTGCTCTGTCTGACCCTTACCTTTTCACACCTTAAGTGTTGTTTGGCCAATTGATCTATCCAGTGGTGGGTCTATCTGCTTTCTCCTTTGTGCATGAGGATGTAAAGATGATGAAAACATCGTTCTTCTGGAGAATGCTGTGCTGTGCCCAGCGCTGCCTTTTTATTGTCCTCCTGGAGTTTGTTTTTTTTAACTACATTTCAATGGAAACTTTCATTATTGATAAGAATTTCAAGATAATAAAGCTATGGAGTATGGATATTGCCTGTATTTTATGAGTCCCTCGTATTTTATAGATAGACTTTTTATGCTGACAGAGATACAAGAACTTTTGGTTTGGCACTGAAATTGATCTTTCTTTGATGTATATCATATTTTCTCAAGGGCTGACAGTTTTTTTTAGTAATTGCATCTGTTCTGTGTTCAATATTGGCGTGGCATCATACCAAGCAGCAGTTTTTAGCTACATGTATTGTTATATGCTGCTCCAGAAAACTTGCACATACAGCAGTTATCAGTACTTCTGACAGAGAAGTTCTGTGTCAGCAAACTTTGGGGTAGTCATTATTAGCATAGCTATCTTTAAGTGGTTATTCACTTCTGTTCAACTGGGCCATAACACATAAAAGTCACATTTACATGAAGACTAAGGTTAGTTTTTCATCAGGACTAAATTAACTGCGACTGAATTCCTCTTAAAAAAGAAATTTGAATTGCCTTACCCCTATTGTAAAAGCTATTTCCTAACCAAGAGTTAACTCTACTTTTGTTTTTTTTTTTAAAATGAACCTTTAGTGAATTGGTTATCCTCTGTTCTGCTGGTGCTATATAATTCAAAAGTACAGGAGTTAAAAAGCTGTTATTTACAAACCCTCATAGAGAGAAGTGTTCAGAGCAGCTCTGGGTGATAATTGTATTTGTCTTATTTTAGTGACCAAGTTCTGGGTATTTTACTCATTCCATTTCCATCTCAAATAGAATAAGTTGCATTGAGTGGTTAAAATCTGCATTGCAGGGTCATCATCACATCCATTCTGCAAACCAGAACTACGCAGATGGTTCATTTACGCAGTTTGATTTATGTGCTGCAGAATATGTGGATGGCAATTTGAAGTCAAAACAGAAGACTTCTGAGGAAGAGATGATGAATCCTTTTAGCCAGGATGTTTTGTGTAATAACTTGATTGGCAAAGGCATTAAAACACTTTAAACAAAAGGTCAATAGCTCTGAACACGTTGAATAGACTTACTGCTTCAGAAATGTGGGTTTATGCCACTATCACATGTACTGGAAAAGATGTGGATAATATCTCAGTTTCTTTGCTTTATTCAGACTCTGGCTTGTTTGGTGTCCCACTGTCACTTTTACTGGAACAAGATCAGAAGAAGGTCCCAGGAACCAAGATCCCACTGATTTTTCAGAAGGTAAATAGGCACTTTTTACATACATGCAAAATGACAAAAACATAACATTTTGTCCTGCATTTATTTGCCTCCTGTAGCAGTTTTCAGTATAATACTCTAAACCATCCAAGTTATTGTAACTTTTATTTGCAACTTTACTTACTAATTCAGTAAATGTGATATTTTGCATTGTATGAGACATATTTTGAATTAAAGAAATAAACTCACAAGGCAGGGACTTTTCCAGAAGACTTGTTGCTGTAGCACAAAGGGGTATGCTTTGGCCTATATTGTGTCAAGGTAATGGGGGAGATAATTGGAAAGAAGATGGAGGCTCTGGATTTACTGCCCACGCATTTACACATCTTATTTCATGAGAAGAAAAGAAACCACTTTGTGTTGACCTGTCCTAATACCAACAAGCTCAGTGCTCTATCATCAGCATTTCAGTGTGTTTGTAGATGTGCTTGGTGCTTTTTGAGAAATAGAAATCTCAAAGCAGTTTTGCATCACAGTCTGAAAACTACTGCTGTGTCATTCATGCCAGAAATTGCTTCCCCAGGATCATAAAAACACATTTCTGGAAAAGATGCTATCTATAAATTGACACATCAAATTGCAAACAGTCATTGATCACTCTGCTGTCCTAGCAACATCAAAAATTCTACATAAACATTAATATCTTATAGATGTGATTTGTTTTGCAAGGTACAGACATCATTTGGAGTATGGTTTTACTTCAAATGAGAATATGAAAATAAAAAGTTTCCCATTTCTTCTGCTTGTTCTCTTCAGCACATGCTTTCCAAGAATGGGGGGTTTATATAATGTATAAGAGAGCAGTTTTGTTCATTCTGCTTTTTAAATGTATCTTGAAATGAAGCAAAGCAAGCTAACAGGAAGGCTTCTTACTTAAAAATAAAAATACACCTAGTTTTTATTTCACTGAGGAATTTAAATTAAAAATAATGGCATAATTTACTCAGGCATTTTCCAGCTGGAAAATCTGGTGGTAATACCAATTCATGTGTCATCATCAGAAGTTTCTGCCGACAGTAGTTCCAGTCTCTGGCCTGCTAATAAAGCCATGCAAAGCAGCCCTGGTAGAGATGAAGAGAGGATTTCCCACAGGCAGGAGGATGATGGTGGCCAGCAGCTGTGTGCCAAGGGGGCACTTGTGAGTGAGCGAGCATTTGTGAAGGAGTTGTGGCCACCAGTTGTGCCACCAGACCTTGCCTTCCCCAGAAGTGGTGATGATGGCAGCTTACACACTGCCCACAGCACCTTTGTGCCCAGCAGATGTGAGTGGCAGACAGTGATGTGGTGTACATCACTGGGTACAGGGTGAGTTGGATGGGGCCAGTTAGCACTTATTTATTTTTTCTAACCATGGAGAATGCAGTAGGATGACACTTCTGGTGCTGTTTTCTAACTTTGTGGGGTTTTCTGTCCAATCTTTTTTATGGTATTTATCTGTTATATAAATGCAGTGGTAGGTAAACTCCCTTTAATTTTTCTAACTGCAAAAAGCACAGCTCTGTTGCATAATTTTTATCACTCAAGCACTGGTGCAGGAAGGCATGTAACAAAGGCACTGCCCTAGTTAAACATTGTGGGAACTATTTGTGCTCAAATTATGTCATCAGCTTTTGATGTTTACAGATTTGTTTTAAATACTTTTAAATCCATCCTTCAGTGAATATTTCTAGGCATATTATTTAGAAGAAAAAAAGTATTATATGGGTTTTAAGTATTTTTATGGATTTTTTGCAAATTCTGCAACCCCTGTGAAGGGTTGCAAACTTTTGAGTCTGTTAGGAGAATGACAAATCAGAGGCTTCTTTAAAGCCTAGAAGTTCTTAGTTCTCCTCTTAAAAAAAACTTGAGTATTCATGAGACTGTAACCTTAATTATTTGGATTTGAGACATTTTAACAAGGGTAGTAATTGGTATATAATTTTAAGGCCAGACTAATTTTTTAAAGAATTCTTCAGTCTTCAGAGGGGGCTTGAAGGAGGTAAAAAACATACAGATTTTTTTTAATAAAATAAACAAACTCTTCTTTAATAGTATTCGTAAAAAAGAGTAAGAACCACATTAAAGTTTTCTTCTACAACAACTGTAATCCATTTGCAAACTGTGTTTGAACCTCTGCTTGTTACAAATCTGTGTGCACAACTGCATATGCACAGAGAGAGAGAGAGAGATACAAGCATAAAGGCTTCAATATATCAGAACTGTCTGCCAGTAATTTTTAATTGGCATCTTTGTTTATGCCAGTTTGGTTTGTGTTTGACAGCTGATTGCCCAGATAGAAGAGACAACTCTGGAAACAGAGGGACTTCTTAGAATACCAGGAGTTGCGACAAGAGTAAAGGTAAAGCATTGCACAGGTTATTAATATCCCCCAAAATGTATGTGTGGTTGCTGAATTTATTTTGTCATACAAATATATTTTAGCATCCCGTTGTTATGAAAATCTTCAAAAATAGATAGTAAAATAGCTTTAAAAATAAAACTAAATTATACTAGCCAGAGAAATGATGCTTTCACTCAGTGTAGTTTTGAGGAAAGATTGGAGTCCAAGTTCGAAGGAGAGTCAAAATTACATTTCAAGTTCAGTTGTGCCAAAGTCTCATTAATTCTTGGCATGAGCTTTCCAGCCTTTTGCTTTTTCCTGAACCAACTCAATCGTCTGAACAGTTCATACACGGTCTTTCTACCCCAGGAGGAAGCTTTTCTCTGTCATTGTGAGCCTTTTTTAATAGCTAGACTTAACCTGTGTTACAGGGTAAGGCAGGCAGCATGCACTGAAGAACCTCTCACATTTATTTTTATGAACAGCAATATAACTGCTCGGCTCGCCGAGCGCAATCTTGTTAGGCGCGTCTGTGCGCACCAACACTTCGCAGAGTGAGTGCCAATTACATGCAGACTCTTCCCCAGTATTTGCCTTAATGCAGGGAGCTAAACACAGTGTGATTCATGCCAAGACTCAATGTGTTAAAAAGACGGTCTGAACTGGCCTTAAATTCTAAACGGAAAGCACCATTTAAGTGGATTCAGCTGTCCAAAGACGTCTGCCAGCCTCTGTTGTGTAGGACTTGGTCCAGCTGCTGGTTCATTAAAAACAACTAAAAGAAGGGAATATTATGAAAATCGGGTTTGTTTATTTACCAGTAACTAAGATACTAATTTCTTTTTTTTTTTTCAGTTTTCCTCCATTCTTTATTCTCCGGTTCACATCAGTTCTGCAAACAGGAGTGATTTCTTAGTGATTTTCTTTATTTGTTTGTTCTTTGATTTTATTAGCTTAATACAATTTCCCAGACAGTGGATCATTCACTATTTGGCTTTCATTTATTTTTAATCTCTCTATTTGCAGGAACTACTTCTTTAAATTAAGCAATAAAATTGTTAGTGAATCTGTTAGGTTCTTTTACTTACTCTAATAGAAAATATTTCAAAAACCAAGGAATTTTATCACACTAAATGATTGAAGTTTTCCCTTAATTTTCTTAAACAGAAAAAAAAAATTCCTCATTATATAGTTTTATAGAAAGACACAGAAAAATACTTTGCTATCATTTCTATAGGTTTTAGGGTTATTGTTAAAAATGCATTGGATATAGCCCATAGTCAAATACATTTTCTTTAAAATGTAGGCATTGGAGCACTAGGACACATAGTTGAAATTTCTGCCTTTGCCTCTCATATAAAATAATTGTATCTATATGTTTAATACTGCATTTATTACTGCAGTGATTTGGTCTGAATGTGGATGGAGAATGTGATGAGTCTGGAGGAGAATTTTCATCTCTGTTTCTGAAGCTTGCTGTTTTTGATGATCAGGAAATCATACCCACTTGACTTTAGAATCTGAATTATGACCGTTGCACCTTTGAATTTCCAATACAGTCAGTGGACAAAGAAGATCTCTCTGGAGAACAGCTGAGAATATCCCATTATCATAATCAAACTGAGTGTCCACATTTTCTTTGTAAATAGATCCATTTTCCATTTGGGCAAAGTTAAATTTAATGAGAAGGATATCTTAAAAATGTATCTAGTATCTGTTCAATGTGCCCTTCTTGTCCAGATAAATAATTATGGCCATATTTTTCCACAGAAAATATTTTACGAAACAAGCCAGTGTCTTTGTTCTCCTTTTCTGTCCAGAATAACTGAGCTAGAAGAAGGTAGGGACCTGTGAGAGGTGCCTCAGGGCCCCTGGCCCTGTGCTGAATTTACTTCTCACTCTGCCAGACTAGGAAATTAATGAAGTGGGTGTGAGATCAGGACTGACACTTAGCAATAGACTAAGAAGGACTTGGTCTTCTCAGTGTGTTTCCATTTGTGCATCTGTGAAAGCCCAGTAGTAGCACTGCCATGGCACCAGGGCAGGGATATGGTAATGTCTGCTGCCAACAGTATCCCCTCCTTTCCCAGCCCCAGAGTTATGACCTTCCACTGAGACTTTTAGAGCTCTTTATTTTACTCTGCTGCATAACCTCGTGATTTGTGGGGCAGTCCACTTCCACATGAGGTTTGACACCCTGTGCTATGCAAAGCTGTATGCACCCAGCAACATGGAATTCCCTGTAGATGGCAAGATGTTCAGCTATTTAGTTACACAAATCATTCCCCGTGTTTTAAAAAGAGAACCAGCCTCACCTTAGTGTGTATTTTGATAAGAAGTTGTGTGTCAACACACATAATTGCCTTAATTTTTAATGAAAATGGCCATGTATGCATTACAGCAACACCCTTGGGTAGCAGTTTCAGAATTGCTCTGTATATCAGACAAATCTCAATATTTGTGTGGAGGGGAAGTCATGACCCTTATGTGCTTGAGTATGATATCTGTTTCTTGTATATTTATTCCATATGGCACTGACTCAGGCCGATGAGATTTGACTGCTGCCTATTAATGTGCGTTTACTTGCAGTACTTCTGATCCCACATTTATCTACTTTGTAGAAAAAGACCAGCAGCAATTGGAGTTAAGTGATATTTCAGATATCCTTCCCCCCCTTTCAAAGTGTGGAAAGTGTTGCTGTGTGTATTACACGTGACTTCCAGCAGCCAAATAAAAAACTGGTGCTCTCTATATCCATTGCATTTCAGGGTCTTTGCCAAGAACTGGAAGCAAAATTTTATGAAGGGACTTTCAACTGGGAAAACGTAAAGCAACATGATGCAGCAAGTCTTTTAAAACTCTTCATCCGTGAACTGCCTCAGCCACTCCTCACTGTAGAATATCTCAAAGCTTTCCAAGATGTGCAGAGTGAGTAGTGTCCTTTCTGTCTCTGCTGGAAGAATTGATATCCATGCAGAGAAGTGCCTCTTTGCTGAGAAGCAAATTGAATAACAACAATATTAGTTCTCCTGAGAAAAGATAGGCATAATTTTGCTACTGTGCGAATAATGTCTTTCATGTAACAGCTATTTTAATAGCTTACACATACAATGAAAGCACATTTTCACTTCCTAATGTTTCTGATAGTAGTTAGGAGGTACACAAGGATTACACAGAAAATGTATATGACAGTATCAGTTTATAAATAGTATTTGCTTCAAAGGAAAACCATAACAAAGATAAGCAGTTCTTTGGGAAGTAAAACAAATGATAATTTATACTGTTCAGGGTCTTTTATCCATTTATAAGAGGAGACGTTAGAGCAGAATAGTCAGAACTGCACTGATCATCCGTGGTCCCTTGAGATCAGCAAGTTCTCGTGCAAATGTCCTCTTTGCCAACTGGTCACCAAGACAGTAAACATACCAGCTGTGACTGGAAGAGAGTGGCTTGGTGATAATAATCCACAGTGAGAGCCCACATACATTAACTCCCCAGTCAGCATGGGGCTGCAAGTTCTATTTCCCTTTTCTGAGGGCAGAGCAATGACTCATTTTTAATAGGGGCTTTCATAGAATAACAGAATATTCTGGGCTGGAAGGAATCCACAAGGATTATCAAGTCTAGCCTTTTGAATGGTCCATATGGGGATCAAACCATCAGCCTTGGCATTATTAGCACTATGTTTCAACCAACTGAGCTAAACTCAGGGTCAGAGAATTCACATAGAAAGGCAGACTGACAAATATTCTTAAAAAGGGCAAGCTGTGCCAAGTCTCCCAGGTCTGAGCTGCCTTTCCATGCTGTCAAGTTGGTTGGAGTAGGGAGCTGGAGCTTTGGCCTGCTACACAGTGTTGTTGATTTTGCAATACTGAGTGTCAAGTTAAAACTGGCCAGAATGCTTTGAGATGGTGCTGGCAGCAAAGAGCTCCAAAAGGTTGTTCCATTTACTGGATAGTGATTGTAGCCAGGAGGGTTTCTGCTTGTGCTCCTGAGCTGTCTGAAGGCCTATATGGTTTTACTTACCCAGAAATACTCAGGTGATAGGATCCAAACCACTCTCTATATTGAACCAAAGGATTTGCTTCAAAACAGACATAGCACTGCATAGATTCCTGTTGCTGAAATTGTTTGTCTTATTGGTTACATGCAATAAGATTAGACGGTAGAGAAAAAGGACTATCTTTGTGACAGCAATCAGTGTTTCTTGTGATATTGTGACTAAGTAGTGTGGTTAGAATTAAATATTTCAAGAATATAATTTGAACAATTTAATTTCCTAATCTATGTAATGTAAGCAGCTGAAATTCAGTTGTTACTTAGGTGAGCAGAAAGAAACTCTTCATTTAAGTAATGAATTTTAGTTGTTGTGCAATTGTATTTTTGCTTACTTTCCTAGGAAAAATTCATTCTCATTGCTTTTTGAGCATTGTGACATAGGGTGTTTTGAAACTGAACTCAAGCCTTACTTTTAATGCGTGTCTTTCTAAAACAGGTGGATACATTGCTGTCACTACTTGATTTTTTAAATGCCTATACAATTTGCCACTCATTTATTCAGATCATTAATTTTTAGTATGGTAAAAAGTAGTCAGCAGGATGGGTTTTTTAAAATTTCATCAATAAACTTTTATTTTTGTTTGGTGGTGTCTCATAAGTTGATTTAGATGAAATGTATTTGAAATAGCAATTCAGTTGGAATCCCAGCTGGATGCATGAGAACAGCCCTGTTGAATTTTGAAATAGTGTGATAAAACTATCTTGTACAGGTACCTCCTTTTTCACTTGTTTTATATATGGCTTGATTCATTAGGAATCTCCTGACAAGACTAGCCAGAGCATGTCCTTTAAAGCATGACAGGAGGAATTTTATCACAAGTGACAAATGTAAGAGAGTTGGGGCTTTCTGCACTGCCAGGCCATAGGAGCTCTTCTAGGTGATGGAGAAGCATTCATTGTGCAGCTTAGGTAAATGATGCACCACTGAGCAATTGGTAAAAGGCAGAAGCAACGTTACTTTTCTTTAATTACAGCTTGCCTCATTTGGTACAGCACTCTCTGCTGTGGATATGTGTTAAGCTTCTCTGCTTCTGGTTTTATCCCCGCCAGTTTGCCATTGCAGCGGTGTTGGTTATGTCACTGGAGGCCTTCCTTACTCAGTTACACGTGGTATTCATTCTGTGTGGGTGACTTGGGAGATCGTGCAACTGTGAAGGCAACCGGAGAAACTGTGAAAGGAGTGTTGAGTATAGCCTTTGATGTGTTGGGGCACAGGCTCAGAAAGGGAAGAACCGTTAGCTATTCCTTCTCGTTGCTTCGCAAAATAAAGAAGGAATCACAAGGCATCTAGAAAACATTGCCAAAAGACTGCTGAGTCACACACCAACTGAATCCTAAGAGAACATTTGGAAATGAGTATCTGTAAACCAGGATCTGCCAGTCCTTTGTCATACTACGATAATTAGCCATGTGTATGCATTCAGCATTTTGCAAGAAGTTTCAACTTAGAAACCATGCTTTTTGAAGAGTATAAATAATATTTTCAAAATACTGAGGTCTGTGTGCTTTATTGGCAGATCTCCCAACGAGGAAACAGCAACTGCAAGCTTTGAATCTTTTGGTTATCCTTCTACCTGAAGCAAACAGAGACACCCTGAAGGTTAGAATTGTTAATACTATTTTCCTGCATAAATATTTTGTCTGTTTCTGTGAATCCACTGTAATGAATGCTGTTGTCTTTTTAACATTCTTCTTTTTTTCAGTTCAAAGTTAATGCTGAAACTAGTGATTCTTTTTATTCCCCCATATTTCACATAACTTCGGGAGGAAAAACACCAAACAACTTAGGGCCCTAATTCCTCCCAAATGACTTTTAAGAATGTGACTTGACATTTTTCCAGGATTGCAATAGCAATCTCCCAGTGAGAAACCTTTTCTCTTAGAAGTTTTTGCTCCCTTTTTTTTTTTTTTTTTAATGTCATTATTTCCAGTGCACAAAATAAACAGTGCTAGAATACAATGAATGTGAGTTTCCTTTTACGAAGTGGGTTTAGCTCTTCGTTTTTATTCCTCACTTTTCTCTCTGCTGTTTTTTGTACTCTCAATAAAACAGAAATCTACAGAAACAAGAAATCTACCAGAAACCAGAAATCTTCCTGTTACTATTTGTAACATTGTACATGGATTCTTCCAATTTGTGCATGTCCTTTTGTAGCAAAGCTATGAATGTTCTTTTCAGAATATGCTTACTGTTAAAGCTGTTACAATCAAGAATGAATGCAGGATTTGTGTAGGATGCAGAACATCATCTATTACAGGCAAAAAAATGCTACTAGGTCTTATTGTTCAAAGACTTTCTTTTTGAGTTTGTTTATTGTGTGGAGGCAGTCTAGAAGGCTCCTGAGTCGAGCTACAAATACCTGGAACCGAATTAATTGAAAATTGCCAGTTTCTGACTGGCTTCCTGTCATTCACAATGCAGTGCTTTACTTGTGAATTGCTTACCTTAAAGAATTAGCCACTCCATGTTTCCATAACCATGACAGCCTGCACTATTGTGTTCACTTTCAGTTTAACAAATGCCAATAGTAATGTCTTCACAAGCGTCTGTGGGATGCTGCTTATGCACCTACGTAAAAAAGGTTTTGAAACAAATCTTACTGTGCAGGGCCTCAAAGTCACATGAATGCTTTTGAAAATGTTACTCACAAAACCAAGAATTTTTTTTTACTTCATTACTTGAAGGAAACAAAACTTGCATTACCATTCTGTGAATAAATATATTCACACTTCTATTAGTGATTGCTTTTAATGTGGTTTTGTTAGGAATTAAGAGCTTTTTCAAAAAAATATGCAACATCATGTTTCACTCATATGTTCATTTTCAACTCTGCACATGCTTCACTTTTCACATGCAGAGTTTAGCTGAAAGTTCTGCTCTTATTTCAGGTACTGCTTGAATTCCTCCAAAGGGTAATTGATCACCGAGACAAAAATAAGATGACGTTAAAGAATGTTGCGATGGTGATGGCCCCAAACCTTTTCACGTTTCATGGGTTTGGCTCAAAGACCATTGAACAAAGCGAGTTTGCTATGGCAGCCGGGACAGCAAATGTCATGCGCTTTATGATTCAGTACCAAAAACTTCTCTGGACAGTAAGTGTGTTTTTGAGGGGGTGGGGATGGGGGGCAGAGAATGATAAATTTCACAACAGGATATCTAAATAGAGAAGTCATGTGAAATTACATCCATGATTGAGGAAAGGATCAGACCGATCCAGCTGGGTTCTTGCTCATAGGTAACTCTTGAGGGAGCAAAACAAAAATATTACCTCTGATGTTAAGCTCTGGCGGTCAGAGTTTTAATATTGTACATCCTACAAGTGAACTCAAAAATAAGTCCTTGGGGGATGTATGTATTTGGTCTATCAATATACATTTCTGGGGGGAATTCTTTTTGGCTCAGAGATATTAGCAGGAAACGGTGTTTGAACTCATTGCCCTTTTGGGCCAAACTTAATATTATATGAAACATGTTTTGATAAAGCATGAAGTTGTCTCATGGTCTAAGCAAAGCTCTAGCTAAGACAAACTGGACAAGTTGGAGGTGTGTTGTCCATCAGCAGCTTGAAACAATTTTGACCTTTGATGCATGTGAGGAAAAGTAATTATCACCATTTTACACACTAAATGTCAAATAAATATTTTTGGCTGACAAAAGCAAAAGCACTGTATGATTTCACCTTTCTTCCCCTGAGACGTCATGGAGTGGAATATTTTATCACAAATGGGGTGGATTTAATATTGTTTCACAGTTTTATATTATTTGAATCTTTAGTTATTAATCTGGAAAGACACTATTTTTGAGTTCTCCCTGATAATCTGGCCATTTACAAAAGTTTTGGTAAGAAAATTATGTAGTTATTCATGCTTAATCTGTATTTATCTAGATTCCAAAGTTTATTGTTAATCAAGTGAGAAAACAAAACACTGAAAGCCAGAAGAAAGAGAAAAAGGACAAAGCTATGAAGAAACTTCTGAAAAAGATGGCATATGACCGGGAAAAGCATGAGAAACAGGAGAAGACTTCTAATGATGTAAGGAAACATAAATCTGGAATGCTTATTAATAGGATTGTAATTTTTAGTGAAAAAGTGGATATAGCAGAGGGGAAATATAACTTTTTTTACTTGAAAATTTATTTCAGTAAGTAGCAAGTTGGTGTAGCTTTGACAGTTTGTGGATTACTGGCATGACACATTTAGAGGATTGTACTGGCTTTTTGTTTGTTTTCACATATTTTTCAGAATATTTCTGAACTGAAAAATGATATCCCACATGTTATTTCAGTTTGGGCACCTGAAATAAATATACATTAGGTCTTTGTCTGTAGAGAGAGCAAGTGTTGTGACAAGACTGAGTATTACTGAGCCCACATTTAGATGTGTTGTTTCCCAGTGGAAATCACAACAGACCATGTGTTTTCTTAAAAACTAAATACTTAGATTTCCCTACTCGATATTTAAAAGTGTTTGGAAACAAATCTGGCATTTAATTCTTTTTCCATCTACAGCAGTTCCAAAACCACTGAACTCTTTGTCCCAGTCTTTAGCTAGAGCATGCACAACCTGCCCATCCCAAGAAACCCCAAAGGATGAAACAAAGGTGAAAAACTGACTGCTTCTTACACAGCTATTGTCCAAGTGGCTACTGCCAGCTTACCCCAGTGCATATAACCCACAGTTCAATATCTCTCCTTTAGGTAATTGGCTTCTGCCATACCCATCAGTGATGTCAAGGCATAAATTTCAGCATAACAGTCTTCACACAAATACAGAAATCCTGGGAATTACAGTGTTAATTTTTCCTGTAGTTCAGAAAGATTTTAGCTGTGCTGTTCCCGCTGACATCAAAAATTTAAAAATACATCTTGTGCATGTTGGAATTGTTGATAGTTTTTAGAATTAGGATTTTTGGAAACTTTTTAACCTATACAATATAGTATTGTAAATGCTTAATTATAAAGCATTTGAAGTACATTATTCCAAAGTTAGCTTAAATACACGAACAGGCAATTCCAAATACAAGCATTCTGATACCATAATGAAAACATATCAGATTTGTGTGGTGTGAGAATCTCATATTTGGGTGGTATGAAAGTCCCCCCTTGTGGGCTGGAGTCGCAGTGAAGATTCTGGTGAGGTAGAGTCATCTTGTGGTTGCTGGTAGAAATGCAGTGCTCTGAGCAGTCTTATTTTCTTACCAAGTGTGTGTATGTCAGACTGTTACCAAAAAAAGGGTTGTCATGTTCTTATAAAGGCATTTTAATAGCTTTTAAGCCAAAGCAAATAGAATGTGGTTAAATGAATATGCTAGATATCCAGAATCTGCTGGAGACTTAAATTTCAGCGTTCCTACCTCATTTTGAATGTAGTATTTGACACATATCTTAATGTCCAAAATTAATTAATTCCCTGGCATCACTTTGCCTTACTTTTGTATCTGTCTGTATAAAGGACTGTTTACACAGAATGATTTCCATATGATTTTAAAATAAAGCTAATTAAATACTGGAATTTGTTTTTCTTGGTCTAATAAGAGAAGAATTCTTTGGATTCAATTTGCTTGAGTTGATGTGATGATACTTAATGCTGCCATCCTGTGTTCAACACTGAAATAACATCAAATACACTGAAAAAAATAAATGCTGTTTCAAGTCCAGATATTAGATTTTTTTTTTATAATTCAGTGCAAAGATATGTCTTTTTAATCCACTGGGGGGTTAGGGGTGAGTTCTTTTAGAGTAAATTATGCTTTTCTAATCCACTGGGGAGATAGAACTGAAGCCTTGTGTAATATTCTTACTCAAATGTAAAGTTACTATTAGATCATTTTCTTCAAGCCCTAGAATTCTGTGGAGATTTTCATCAAAATTAAATGGTACAATTTTTTACAAATCCTTCATGCTTCCTTCAAGCATTGAGTAATTTTGTGTGCTTGAGAACATAATACTCTTAAAATCATATTCACAAATTGATAAGACTTCATTGTGAATGACAATTTTGCACATTTTTCCAGTAAAAAATATCTCATTCTTTAAGGAAAATTTATTTGTTTGAGTTTTCCTTCTCCCCAGTTTTCAGTTTATACTGCTTTAATTTAAAAATGAGGTGACTTTTCCTGTGCAGTTCTTGAACTCGATTTCACTTTCAGGTGGTAAGTGAGGCACCCAGACTTGTGGTGAATTTCCCACTCTAGCAAAACCTGTTTGCAGCTTTCAATAGCCAATTGCCTTGTGTGCTGCTGAATAAAAGCTGAGGAAAAGTTTCTATTTTCTAACACTTCTGTGACACCCTACATGATTGAGCATAGATGGACAGAACCTGAGTCACTTCCGTATTCTCCAGAAATAACTCAGTATCTGCAGTGTTAATAGCAGCTCATTTGGATAAAATTTCATCTTAGCTCTGATGAGGCCTCTCTGTCAATCACATTTCCCCTTTTGAGACTGGTTATTTACCACAAACTTCAGGTGAGATCTCTCTACAGTGTTGAGAGTGGTTACTATTAGAGGGCTTGTGAGGGTTAATTGCTAACATTATGCATACCTATGGCCCCAAGTCAGTGTTGGGGATTAAGTCTTTATGTTGGTGTTGGGCTGAATAATGCTCCAGACAGGCAAAGAAAGATGCCCTCAGGACTGGAAATTTACCTACTGCCTTTAGCCACATTTATACCATCTGTCATTGTATTCCTGTGTATAGTCCAGTTGTTCCAAAAAAGGGAGCTATCATGTGAGCAGCACACACAACACACTGGGCTGAGCTACTGCAGGTTATAAAAACCATTGTATCCCACAGCCCTTCTGTTTGTATGATCTGTTTGAATTTACACAGACTAACCTTTCTGACTCCTGTTGAATGTCACTCACTGCAGTGCCAGTTTATTTACTAAAAAAAATTGTTACCTGCTAAATAATTTCTCTCTGTATAGTTTTCTAGTTTTTGGTCCCAAACTAAGTATAATATTTTGCAGCCCAAAGAGAACAACTGGTTTGCATTTCTTTCAACCTTTGCCTTCAAAAAGCTTTCTTGCTTCCATGTAGCAAGAACCTTTCGAAAATCAATTTTGTTCTTCATAATGTTCATGCCCCATAACTGCTTGGTCTACTTTGCATCTTTAGTAAGTATGTATAATATTCCTTCATTAGTGAAAATATTGCATAGAAACATTTCTCTCTGCACCTAGAGTGAAAAATATTTAAGTGGGTCATGAAAAATGGATTAGAAAAAACTGACAGAGACCCACCCCAGATCCTATAGCCAGGCAGCTGCTCTTCTTTGTGATACATGGATTCCAAGTCCCCCTGAAAAGGAAGGGTTTGAAGATTAGTACCTCACAGGTGACTGCTGTGCCTGCTACAGACTAAATGTTGTAGGCCAATACATTTTCCATCAAGTAAGGACATACCGTCTCCAGGTTTTTTAATAATGCAAGTACCTAATTCAGCCAGGGGTTGCAGTGTTTTAAATCTGACCTGAAAGGGCCTGTGAGGCAGGGGAGGAAACTTGCATACTGAGTAGCATAGGTGACCCACTCCTCAGTGTGTTGTCAGTCCTCTCATAGGTTCATTGCTTGATATGTTGTGATACAGAGCCCCTCACTTGAGTATTTTGAACTGTGCTGTGCAGGGAATAGGTCCTTCTGTCATTCAGCTCTTAGAGGTTTTAGGCCACATTTTCTTTCCCACCAACTTGCACAGTGTATGGGCTAGGGGATGCTCAGGTTCTGTTCTCTCTGTAGTTTGGCAGCATGAACATATTGTGCAGCTGAGCATGATTTCTCCTGGAAATGTAGGTGGTGAAAGTGGCAAAATGCATTAATTAGCTGAGCTAATAATGATTCTTACTGAATAAACAAAGTAATTATTCTGTTTGATCTGTGACCATAATGTTAGAGCTCTGTGGACGTTTCTTGTTCTTTCTCTCATATATTCAAAGCAGACTGCTTTTTAAATAATTTATTATATGCCTGCTGTGTAGCAAAAAAAAATTATCCAGCTGAAAGTTGGAGTAACTCCACTAAAATCAACTGAGACAAAATGATAAAGAACTGTATACAAAAATGAAAGCTACTTTAAATTTGCCAGTTTGAATTTGATGGAAGACCAGTTAGGGACATCTATAAATAATAATTTCATTCATAAAAATTTAATTTCTTTTTGCCAGGATCCCAAAAGTTTGGAAAGAGGCAAAAACATTTAAGAATTTGCTACCTAACAGATGGCTACAGACACTGTTTCCATAGGTGGAGGCCTTAAAGAACAGATTTGACAGATTTAGAGATAAATCTAGGGGAAATCTCATAGAGATCTCTTGCAATCTTATGAATCTTTGATTCCACAATTACTACAAAGCAAATTCTCAATATGATGATTTTTACTGCTTTAGACAGAAACAGTTATGATGTATAATAATTTTAAATCAATAAATAGTAAGACAGGATGCAAAATGATTGTTTGGTTAAAATTCCTTACCATAACTCATCATTTGAATAGTAATGAGCCTACAGCTTTCTCAGGAAGCTGTTCTTCTGATTCTGCTCATGTTTGTGCTGCTCACGTTTGTTCTATACTCATTTAACTCTGATGGTTTCAGAGAAGCTATTCTAGATTCACAGATGCCCAGATTTATTCATTGATTAGGGAAGAAGAAATGTTCAGCCTTGCAGTTAGGTAATTGGAGAGGTGTGGGGTGGGAAAGGGGAGAATGAACTATCAAAATCAACCTTACTTTCTTTTCCTATCAAAATGAGTATGTTTAGGTGAGTGATAATGTAATAGGGATAGAAAAATCTACAGGAACAGAGATTAGAACCTTATTCACAAATAAATTATGCCTTTTGTAACTTCAAATGTCATGTACCTGCAGGTTGAACAAAGAAGCTGTCCTTTGTCTTCCTTCTCTAGCTATATGCTAGATATATAGCTAATATGATTAATATTCATCATCAAGGACTTGTGAGTTGAAATAAAATGCAAGTCTGTTGTATAGTCAGACTATTATATAGGGCAGGTTGGCTAGCTGAATATATTATGGATAATAAGAAATAGAGAGAAAAATCTGCAGTAGCAAATAGTTTTTAAAAAATGAAATTTACAAAAAGGGAAGAAGAATCCTCTAAAGTAGACTGATCCATGAGTACTTTGTGGTTTGTTTTTTTATTTTTTTTGGCAGGAAGTTCAGATTAAATAGAACTGGACAGGTTTCTTCCAGAAGTTTTAGCAGAGGGTCGGTGCAGGGGCATTGCCTGGTTTTCATGCCTGCAGCAAGAATTTTCCGTATCAGTGTCACATGCCTCTTATCATGCCAAAGTGTGTTCTTAATACAGCATAATTGTTATTGTTACTCTTAACATCTTTGCAAAATAATTAAACACTACTGCTCCTTTGTTCTGAAGCTCTCCCTGTTGTTAAAAAGAGCTTTGAAGGTCAGATGTAATTTACTGAACTGCTGCGTAGTTACCGTATGTTTGTAGTGAAGTCTGGGAGATAGTGAAGTGCAGAGCACTGTACTTCCTTACTTATTCCATACTGTATTTTGAGAAGCTCATCAAAGCCAGCTGCTAGCAGCTTTGTTCCAACACTCTTATTGCTTTGCAGACTGATGTTCCTCAGGGAGTGATACGGGTGCAAGCGCCTCATCTTTCCAAAGTTTCCATGGCAATACAGCTGACAGAAGAACTGAAAGCTGGTGATATAGTAGCCAGGTTTCTCAGCCAGAAAAGGTATAAACACGTCTTTGTTTCGTTATCATGTCGGGAAAAGTGTCTCTTCATTTATTATATCAAGGAAAAAGTTGTAAAATACTCGAAGTCTAGGTCAGTTCATGAACTTTTTGGCTGAATTTAGCCATCAAAATACACACTTGAGGAATTAGTCCTTTTAAATGTTGTTAAAGCTTAGGAAGCCTTCTGGAATACATGAGTGCTGTTAGTAAAAAATTAATTGCTATTTAATCTGATGGGTCAGGAATAGTTTTGTAATTTTCTGGGACAAGTCAGAAGGGAACTCCAAGAAAACAGAGGAGTGAGGAAAGAAAAAAGAAAATATTTTTTTAAATAATACATTTATATATAACAGCATAATAGGTATTGGAGTATAATGATGTGCAAATGCCATGCACATAAAATTATTTAAAACAAAAGCTACTTTTTAGTCATTCAGATCCATTTAGAAAGGGAGAAATTTTAATCCATCTTTTGAAAAAAAAAATTAACACACGTGTTAATCATATCTAACTATTCAGCTAAAGCAATAGTATGGTACACTAGTTGAGATGAAGAAGGTGCTTTTTCCTAAATGCTGTTTTTACAGTTTTACACCGTTGTAAGAGAGTTATTTTCTGGCTGGGCTTTAGCATATATTACTACAATTTAGCAGTGAGAATAATAGAATCCCTTTATGATACAGGGACTTTATTCTTCCACTGTCTTTTACTTCTTTTAGTTGCAGTAAAATTAAGACCAGCAGGAATGTGGTTCCTCCCTCCCAACCATAAGGCTTTTTCTGAAATATGGCATATTTGAGGGAAATACTTATTTGTGCAGTAGCAGTAAAAGAAAAAATCAGAGGGGAAATATCAAGCTACTTGCTAATAACAACGAAATTCTTTCCTAAAAGCTGCAGTTTCTTCATATTTATCTTATTTTACCTTTTCTAGTGTATTGCTCACTTGCAGGACTGTTCATTTGCAGTATCATGCAAGGGTATTCTTGTTCACTGTTTTTTCAGTAGGCATCCACACAAAGGGTTTGTGATGGCTGCAGTGCTGATCTTAATTAGCATAACCTCTCCCAGATGTGTCTAGGTGGCTGATCCACAAGCACCTTTGTAATATCCTCATTCATTGTGTTCTGTTCCCCACAGTGGAAATGTCCAAACACTCAAGAAAGAAGAGGTTTTTCTTTATGAAATAGGAGGAAATATTGGTAAGAATGACTTCTGAACAACTTCTTTTCCTAGAATAGGATTCCTTGGCACATTGTCCATGGGCTTCACTGTGGTTACATTTTAATTCATGTCCCTCATTCTCCCTGACACTAAGGCAGCCAGTTAACCTTGTGGAGAAGGCAGCAGAGATGTTTGTGTTATCATTATATCAGTATTGTCTTATTATCTATCCCAGAGGAAGTTGGCAGCTGTAATAGATGTTCCTGATATGTATGTACAGTGAATAAGCACAGAGAGGTTGGATACAAAGATGCTTGAAGTTCATCTTACTAATCTCTTTGTATTGAGGCATAATAGGTGAACTTACAGTCCTTCATGTTCTGCATTTGAGTGTCACTTGCATGTTCTTTTGGGGGGAAGAAAATGCTCAGCCAGAAAGATGACCATGTGATAAAATAGCCTTTCCTGCTCTGCTTATTTCAGACCCTTTTGATTAAAGTAAATAGCAGATCAGCAAAGTTAATGCCAAGGATAATTCTGAACACAGTTCTAAAGTTTTCTTCTATGCAAGAAAATGCAAGAGTACTTTTGCATTAGAAATCAGTTTCTAATCACAGTATTTTTCATATGCTCAGGAAAACAAAAGGAGAACTAGAAAGCAGTAGTAGATTGGATTTACATTTACCTTTTTCCTTAACTGTGACCTGTTAAACGTATTTGGCATTATAAAAATACATGCAGTACTTCTTTCCTTTGCAAATTTCAATTTCATATGTAAAGTGCTAATTCTAGCATTTATTTTTTATTCTAATCACTATTATAAATTTTTTTGCATGTTTTTTGCATGTAAAGACTTAATAAAAAATTGCACTTACCTATGTTTCCTGAAACAGTTATGTTTTAGTGTTTTTACTAAGTCTGGTAAATAACTTACCAAGATAGTTGGGTGCCAGATGAATGTATTACATGTTCTCTTCCAAATCCAGTATCTACATACATTTCCTATGCCCATGAAAGCAGGTTGCAGTCCCAGATGTTAGACTTTTTTAAAGGAGAAGAATATCTTGTTTATTCTACAGAGGGGCAGTATTTGCAGGAAAAAAGGTTTTGCAACAGAATTCCAATGAAACTGGAACAACTTACTGTTACTTTAAACGTGACAGAAATTGTACTTCTCTTAGAGAAGGTGCAGATTTGTTTTGTTTTGTTGTGACATGCTTTAGAAAGCTTAGATGTTTTCTCTATCTGAATGGTTTACTTCCAGAGAATTTCAACTTTAATCAGTCCTTACTAGTCCTTACTAGTACTCTCAGCTGAGGTAAGAGAAACTGCCTGCCTTTAACCTGCCATACAGGTTTAAGTAAACCTGCTGTCCTGACCTTTGCCATCTCTCTCTCTTCCTGAGGTGCCTGACTCACGTAGAGGGAGCCCAAAGCAAGACTCGAGGGGCTCATGACACACTCATGTCCTTACACTTACTCTCATAGCTGTAACAAGCGCAATGGTGTGATCTCGTCCCTGCACAGATGCAGCTGCTGAAGTCTGCAGACATTTCTTTAGCAGTCAGTAACTGTAGGACTTCAGGGCACTGAATGAGACTTCTGCCACTGCTTTGTGCCCGGGACTGTCTGGACAGGGACATGGCAAAGTGCTGTCCCCGTGCTCTCACTGCCTGAACATGCTGCACTGTGCAGAGGAGAAGAGCTAATTCAGCAACATGGGCAGCACTGGTCACAGAGGTTGGGCTTAAAATCTTAGAGAGAGCAGGAGACTGCACCTGGTTGAGCAGGGAGTCTTGCCTTCTTGCCTGCTCTGTGCAGGGTATCCAAAGAGCTGGCATACAAACTCAACTGCAACCTTCCACCTGTGTTTGCCTCCCCTTGTCAGGAGTGCAAGTACTGGAAATGTCAGTCTGGCACGAGCCATCCACCCCAAGCAATTGCATAGCAGAGCAGAAGAGGAACAGTGTTGTAAAGCTGCAAATGCATGAGATAATGCTTTGCCTGTAGGGGAATAAGAAGAATGTGCAGATCTTGATGGATCAGCATATGCTATTTTCATCATAGCTACTAGATATAAATTAATTGCTTGTAGTGCACCAAGAACAGTGTACTACTTTCCCTTCCTAGGACAGCAGCTATTATAAGTGCTATGCAGAACAGCTGAATTAAGAGGAGGAGGATAAGGAGTAGCACCTTCTTAGCAAGGAGAAACCTTGCACAAATTTAGCATTTAAAAAAGGGGGAAATAACCTGAAATTTTAATAGGCTTCTGCGTGAATGTGAATGTAGTTTTGGATATAATCATGAGAGGATCAGGACATTGCCCCATTTTTAGTTGGAGAGGGGAGTTCCCATCTGTGTGAAGAATCTGACCTAGAATGTGTCACAAAGGTGTAAAACAGCCCCTTCTCTCCTTCCTTCTTCCTCTTGTTCCCTTCCTCCTCAAGGCAGATGGGAAGGGTAAGAGCACCTCCAACTTTTATGTGCGTTATCCTTTGTTAAACACCACAGAGACTTTGAAAATGTATATGGAGTAAAACAGTAACAGGAACTTTGGAAGTTGTTTCCTTTCTCTTTTGCTTCTGGTGTAACCACATGTCTTTTTTGTTTCTAGGAGAACGCTGCCTTGATGATGATACCTACATGAAGGACCTTTACCAGCTCAACCCAAATGCTGAGTGGGTTATAAAACCTAAGCAGAGCTAAGATCACAACTAATGGCAAAACCTCCAACCTGTGGACTTACGTTGCAGGGCTGAATGTTTCAAAGGGATAATGTGTCCTTTCAACATTCAACCATTATGTATATTAATAGAACTTCATCTAGTTTAAAAAAAAAAAAAAAAAAGAAAAAAAAGAGAAAAAGATAAAGCTGTGGTAACCCAACAGTTACAACCAGTAAACTTTCAGTTTTACTTGCAGCAAAATTTTGGGAGATAGCACAGTTTTCCCACTCATGTTTGAAATGAGCATGAGAACTTTACATATTTTATATATAATTACCTTAAATATTTTAATGGCACCAAGCTACCTCCCATCTGGTAGGTCTTGTTTAAGAAGAATTTACTTTTCAAACAGGTGTTTAAACTCTTTATACTAGAGATCTACAATCTGTTTGTGTAGCATTTTGTGTTCATATAGGTCTTTTCAGTGCTAGTACAATAGAGAACCAAATCCTGATCAGCACTTCTTAATGGTACAGTATTAAAAATACTTAGCCCAGTCATATGAATTTCCCAAATAGTGTGAATTTCACAGGAAAAAACTGCAATGCAATGGATTTTGTCTTTGGAAGACCTAATTTAAAGTTTGATGAAACTATTTAAAAACAACTGTGAAAATGCTTTCTATGCAGCTTTTTTGCTAGATCTTTTAAGTAATTTTATTTTTACTCGAGTTGATTGTGCTCTTGAGATTATTACAAAGAAAAGGAACAATAAAACAAAGAAAGGATCACGTGACAAGGTGAGTCTTTTTAAAGCTCACTACTCTTGCCACTGTCTTTACTGGCATATTATCATGCACTAGAAAAAACCTTTTAGGTTTTTCAACAGTGTAATGAAGCCACGTTATAATACACTGATTTCAGGTTTTTTGGGCATCTGTTAGATTGAGTTTTGTGAACTGCCAAAACTTTTCTATTACTAGCGTAATAAAAACTTTCAGGAAAAATAAAATAACTGTATAAGGAAGCTAGTCTAAATTTCATAGGTAGCAAACCTTTCACTCAAAAACAGTGTAAGGGTCTACTGTGGGTATTACCTACCGTCAGCTGATATATCTGGTCTATACTGGACAAGGCTAGAAATCAAGTTCTGATTTCCCTGATGCTGATAGATGCTGTCTAAACCACTTCAAAAATTAGTGGTCCAACAGAGAACTATTGCAAATCCATCCCTTTTCAGGAGAGGACTGAAAGCTCCCCATGGAATTCACTGATAATGAATTATAGAATGAGGAGACTTGTTGCAACACAAAGAACAGTGGCCTGGAGCTCCAGAGCTCCAGTCTCACAGCAACACTTTGGGCTCACTAGCTTGTGTACCACTTCACAATTTATTTGTAAACTAGCTCAGCTGTGCTCAAATGCTTACTCCTGCCTGCTGACTACCTGAAGTAACCACTGTGAAATTGTATCCTTGGAATGAAATACTTTCTTTCAATGCACACAGAGATTTATATTGACCTCATAGGGAGTATTCTCCATACAATCAAGGACTGAATTAGATTTCTTTTGCATGATCAAACCTGATTATAGGAATAAAGGACCTTTCTGCTGAGCTTTGGACATGGGCCCTGTGTTGACAAAGTAACCACTGGAACTCTCCCTTTTACATATACAAGCAGTAAGATAAAACTCTGAAAGGTCATAGAAAAATTTCACATCTGCTGATTAATTATTCACAGCATATGAACAATTTTGGGGCCGTGTGTATTTATTGTTTCCTAAAGTCAAAGGCTATCTTCATATGAAGAGGAAGCACTGCATTGGCTGGTTCTGAAAAGCAGGATGAGTAAAAGAGGAAATTGTTCTAATGTGACTGTGCTGCCCTTGGTGCTCCGTCTTGTTGGGTATTCCCACATGGTATAATAGCACTGTTTTTTTTGACATGTAATACAAAAATGACGTGTGTTTTCATAATACATTATAGTTCTGTAAAAGATTACTCGTTACTGGAACTCTAGGTGTTATTTTAATCAGGAGCAAAGTGCAGATGATAGGAACAGCTGTTCCTAACAGTTTCAGTCTAAAATTGCAACCAACCTGTGGTGGTTACGATCTCTTAAATAACTTTGGTTTTGGTTTAGTGCCATTGTTTGTTGTTTTTTTTTAAATTTAAATGTTTTAATGTTCTTTTGTAATTAAATGTTGCTTTTTTCTGACTTCTTTTCTCATTCAAATTCTTATATTTGTGCATAAAACATACCCAAATGACACTAAGTGATAATTATTTAGTGATTTCACACTTTACATCTTTGTAGAGAGCTTGTAGTATTGTGTATGACAAGAGACACTGATAAGTTAAAGTCCTGCAAAACGAACACCTGCTGGAAAAATAAATAACTGGCTGGAAATTTAGAACTTTTCTTCAATTGCAATACACCTTTACTAAATCTGTAACATAACAATTGCTGGGTATATGCAAAGAAGCAGGAGACTTCTCAGTGCTCTTTGAAAATACTGGCTCTTAATTCCTCATAATTAAATTAGGGCACAAGTGGGAAGTCCAGCATTCAGGTAAGCTGATAAGAATCTTTTATAATTAAAAAGACAATGCTGCATTAGTTGCTTATTTGGGGCAATTTGGCAGGCCACCATTGTTTTGACTGATGACTTGGGAAACATATATGCAGGAGTTTTTTCACCCTGAAAGCTGACAGATTAATGCTGTGTGCAACCCTGTGCAGGCAGAGCAGCCGGGACTGGGGAGAGGAGGGAGTGGGGAAGCAGGTGATGGTCCCTCTTACCACTGCCTGGATGTTGTGGAGCATGTAAGGATGGTTTTGTTCTCAAAAACCTTCGGGGGAAGGAGGGGAAAGGTCTCCAATGCTTCTGTGAGGTGTAGACACCTTTCTCGAACTTCTTCAAAGACTGCAGGGTTTGCACTCATTTTGCATAGCCTCCTGTTCTTCCCCACCTTGTGTGAAGCACATGCACCATCCCTGGATATCCATGGGTGCCAGGAGGAAGGAAAGGTGTCATCCCATGCCTCCTGTGTGAGCAGCAGCGAGACAGGTTTATCTCACATTGCAAGTCAACAAGCAGCATCTCTGAGCGTTCCACTGACGTTTCAAGAAGACAGTAGGGAGCAGGAAGGTCAGTGGATCTGGTTGTGTTGGAAATACTGGCTGAATTTCTCTCAGGCCTTTCACTAAGCAGTGGCATGACTGAGATGAATTCAAGGATAAGGAGATGCACTTTTTGGCAGTTAGCACCTTGAGAAAGGCCTGCTTTAAACTTTCCCCAGCCCATTATTTCTTTGTCAGATGTTCTTAAAAGCAATGTAACTCTCCAGTAAAACACACTGTCTTCCTTGCAGCAGCAAGCTACCTTGGTGAAAAGTTGCTAGAGAAATTATTTCCTTGGTATCACACTTAAATGCATTTTAGAATTAGTTCTCTGCTGTGCTTCTATCTTTAAAAGGTTGCAGCCATGCAAAAAGTATAAAATGTGTATGTGCTAGTCTTACAGCAATATTTATAATAATATTTTTTTATGTAGAGCAATACTTCAAAGATATTTATACTACTGTTTGTGTTTGCACACAAGCCACATCTGAGGTAGGTAAGTACCTATCATCCCCATTTAACAGATGGGAAAAGTGTTCATAAATGGCTGGCTTCTGGCTAGAAGGGTTGAAATTAATCTGATTTCTAGAAACCAAATATGATCCTCCAACAATTACTTTAAAAATCTGCTATATTGCCAGTAACAGCAGTATAGCAATTACAAGTATGGCTTCAGGGGATTCTTTTAATAAATACAATGCTGTAATTTTTAGCCTGGTTTCCAGAGGAAATTTGTCTGGGGTAATCTTGCTACCTTGTGTGTGTCTTCCCCTAATTACTTTTGAGTCTGTTGGCAGACTTTAGTAATTTTTGGCAAATGCAGTGGGAGGGAAGGCGTGTGTCAAAAAATAATTAAGCTTCTATGAGCTTCATAAAACTAGGTAGTAGGAGTCCTTTGTTCAATGGGGAGATGACAGCATAAGCTCCACTTCTATTTAGGCAGCAGAACAGAAGTGTAAAAGCAGCCATACACATGCTCTGGCTGTGGAGGAAGGCATGGAGCTCACAGCCAGCCAGTGGGATTTGGCATCAGGCCTTTGGAGGCCTGAGAAAGCATTTGCTTGTGTTATCACCTGCTTTCTGAATCTTCTTTGTTGACACGATGTGGGTGATTGTTGCTGAAGCTGCAGATGTTCTCCTGGGCTGGCTTTGGGGGTGCAGCCTCTCTGTAGCCCCTGGCTAGTACAGCTCATGCCCATACCCTCCCTATGGACTGAGCACGTTTCCGGCCTGAGCCGGACCCACAGCTGAAGGGTGAGGAGGTGGGTAGAAACACCTCTCCCCTCTCTGCTTGTAGGGCTTTTGGGAATTACCTTCACCCTGGGGAATAACCAGATCTAAAACCGGTCAGTATCAAAAACCTTCACTTGCAGGTTTTAAACCATCATGGGAATACAACTTGCCACTCATGAATCATAGGAAGTGGTGGTGGTTCAAAAGCCCCGCAGATATTATTACTCCTTGATAGTCCGTTTTGGGATGACTGAAAGGATCCTTCCTTCTCCCCGTGGCACTGTGAAAACAATAACTAACCCATATTAGCATTGAGAGCCACAGTCTCTGTATTTCACATATCGAATGAGAGCCTTGCCCTCTATGTTACCATCGTGCCTCTGTAATGCGGTTACTCTCGAAAGCAAATTGTCTCGGTTCCCCCGAGCAGTCTGCTCACACGCTGTGTCGCTGGATCAGGTCCTGCAGGGCAGCCAGCTCTGTGCTGCTTTCCCATGGGATTCCCTGTGCCTTCCGAGCGGTGACACCGCCACCCGCTTGTCCACACGCTGCCATTGCCATGTGCCGTCCGCTGCCGGGGACAAGCGGAGGGTCATTCCCACAGCGCTCACTTCTCTCTCCCGTGTGCGAGGGCCGCCCTTGGGGACAGAAATCCCTGGAAGCTGCCATGGGCAGTGTGTCTGAGACGGTGCATCAGGGAGGGACAACTGCGATGTCGAGTTCTCTGGACACAGTGAAACAGAGTAGACAAAGCTTTGCGCAGCAGAAAATCACAGGCTTGGGTGCATTGCTGGATATCTCCTGCTGGTTATCAAGATGCAGATGGACGACACGCTCCAAATAATCAGAATAAATGAAGGAACACATAATTTCTTGGAAACAGCTGAGGTCCCAAACCCTGAGCTGCTGGAAACTGGTTTCCTGCTTACTCATTTTTCCCCCTAGGAAAAGTCTCAGGAGAATTTTTTTGGTTTAAATCCTGCTGCCTTCTGATTTTTGGCTTGGTTAAAATTTATAGCATGTATTACCTGATTTAGTTGTCTTGATTATATTCTAATATGTTCCCATGTTGTGCTCTGTTAGTTATAAGGCAAATGAGCTTCTGAGCCCTTGTTCTGGATGATCCTCCTCTACTACAGTCTGTCAGAAGCTGTCTTTATGAATAAAGTCTCCTTCAACCTGCAGAAAGAGAGTTTCTTCCATCAGGAACCTGAGTAGGTGAAGTAGTGCTGAGGTTGTCATGGGGCTTTGCATGGCTGTGAGACAGAGCAGAGAGGTGTCCATTGCAGTATTCTTGTCTGCCTGCTGTGCATCAACCTCATTCAGTGCAGCATTTTGCTTCCTTGACAGCAAAATCCTATGATGCAGCCAGGTGATATCCATTTGGAATGCTGTTGATCTTGAAATAAACAGCATTTTTTTGATTATGATAAGGCTGAAGCCTTACTGTGCAACCTTGGAGTACTGGCAAAAATGTGTGCTGGTGCTTTTAATATGCCATTGTGAACTGAAAAAAAAATGTATTTTTCTTCTCATGCTGTTTAGCAATGAAAGAACAGACAATTCTGACATAGTTAGGAGTTATGTTTTTGAAAAAAAATAGATCAGAAATCATACTGTGCAGATACTTTTTAAATGGTTCAATTTTTTCCACCAAGATCATGTGTTTTCATTTTTCATAGATCTTTGCTGAGAGGTTATCCTGATTTTCCTGCATTTTTGCCTTGGCTAGATGGTAGAAGGAAATGTGAGAGATTTGCTCTGTTGATATTTGGGGCTTTTGCTTAATAAAAATCGTATTGTTAAAGTGTTGTTAAGATAATGATAGGTCAGTACATGAACATGAGATCCTTCAGAAGAGGATTTTTATTTATTTCCCTACAAGTTGAGAAAATGTGGCAGCCAAGACTGTAAACCAAATATGTCTATCATTCCTTGCAGACAAATATGTCCATTCCAGTTACACCACAGGTCTTCTAGGAAGAATCAGAAGAAAATATCCAAATTCCCCACCCTGGAATGTGGAGATGATCTCCTGTGGGTGGTGTTGCCGGCACTTAAAGGCAGGGAGAACAGTGTGAGACTGAGTGGGTTTTTTTCTCTTTCCTTTTTTTCTCTTTTTAAATTGGCTAATTTTTCTCTTTGAATGCTGCTGTTGTTGGGAATAATGAAAATTATTGTGAAAGCTCAGCATAAATAGTTTTTTTTCTGTACAACGACAATATGGGTGTTTGGGGTTTATGAATAGAACACACAGGATTGC